TGTATATTGTAAGTTCAATGAAGGGTCGTAAAAATTAAGTTTGGAAGTAATTTTAGATGCTATTTTAGTTGTTTTATTTTTTTATATATGTTTTTATATTATGTATGTATGTTGGGACTCTGTGTTCGTGTCACAGGAAGTGACATCTCAGAAGTACGCACCACATTCCTGTGACTTGAACACAGAGACCCAAACAACACTACAAGCCCCAGAATTCTACACACATACAGGAAATTGATGGAAGTTGCAGCGCACTGGACATCACTTAGTGGCTATTACCCACCTATATAAACTAGGACATTCCAAGATCTCTCTAGACCAGCGATTGCGAACCTATGGCATGCATGCCACAGATGGCATACAAAACCGTCTCTGTGGGCACGCAGCCATAGATCGCCGGCAGAATGCCCACGTGTCCCGGTTCGTCCGAGACCAGGGCCGGTGCTTCCTATAGGCGACCAGATTTGAGTGACAGCGCACAGCGAGAGAGAACACTTTCTTTCAGTCCGGCCGGGTACAGGAAACAGAAGCTCCTGTACAGTGGTACGCGCCGCCTGGCCATGCTACACAGGGAGGTAAGAGGCACAACAGGGAGGGGGGTTAGCACCAAGGGGAGGGGGAGAGAGTAACACTAAAAGGGAAGGAGAGACCACTAAAAGGGGGGGAGGAGAGGAGAAGCCACTAAGGGGTGGGGGAGAATAGTGACCACTAACGGGGAGGGAGAGACCACTAAAGGGGTGGGGGGAGAGAAGTGACCACGAACAGGGGGGAGAGGAGAGACCACTAAGGGGGTGGGGGAGAGGAGTTACCACTAAAGGGGGGGGAGACCACTAAGGTGGTGGCGAAGAGGAGTGACCACTACGGGGGGGTGGGAGAGAGCACTAAGGTACAGGAGTAGAGGAGAGCTCTAAGGACGGAGGGGACAGCTCTAAGGGAGGGGAAGAGAGACAGCACTAAGGGACAGGGGAGAACACTAAGGGACAGTGGGGCAGGGGAGATCAGAGGATGACAGGGGAGAGCACTATGGGACATCAGGGGATGGGAAAGCACTAAGGACAGGAGGGGAAGGGAGAGCACTAAGGTGTCTGTGTATCTGTGAGTGTGTGTGTGTGTGTATCTGTGAGTGTCTGTGTACCTGTGAGTGTCAGTGTGTATAATTGCCGTGTTTAATTCCCGTGCTGGCAATTTGAGGAAAAAAATTTGGTTTGTATCGCGGTTTGGGCACTCGGGCTCAAAAATGTTCGCCATCACTGCTCTAGACCGTTCCTGTGGAACTCCCTTCGCCATTAAACTTTCACCCAGTGTCCATTCCTTCAAAAAAATAATTAAAAACTCAATTTTTCAGGAAAGCATATGAATTAAACGATTAACAGCTTTCCCTCCCCGCACCCTGATTCCCCTCCTGCAACTGCCATAAAAATTTTTTTTACAAATATTTTTGCAAATACTTTTCAAGCAACCTACATTTACATTTTGTGTCACTATACCCTACTCCCTCTAACACATAAGCTCATTGAGCAGGGCCCTCAACCCCTTTGTTCCTGTGCATACAACTCGTCTGGCTACAAATACGTTAGTTAACCCATTGAACAGCGATGTGGAACTTGTTGGCGCTTTATAAATATAATTAATAATAATAATGAATGAAATGATTTTTTATAAAAAAAATAATGAGAAATAAATAAATACAAATATCCCATAATAAAAGAAACCCATGGTTACCATGAAACACAAGAAAATATATATTTTAAAAATGTAAACTCAAAATAAAACAAATATTGAGAATAAATATGAAACAAATAAGAAAACAGTAACAAATAAAAAAAAATAAGAAAAAAAAAACAATATATGCTCAAAAGTAGATGAATGAACAAAAATAAAAAACTTAGAAAATATACTAATTTACTTGTCCAGAACTCCCTATCATTTCATTCCTTAGCCATGCTTATAAAACACAAATATAAAAAATAGCATATTAAATCCTGTAAAAAACACCAAAGCTCTATGTCTACATTGAGGATACGTGGTTGCAGAGTTCATTTATCTAAAAGGTTTAGCAAATCACACCTACTCCCAAGCGGCCTCTGCACTCAGAGAATGAGAGTACTGCCTGCATGTTACCATGGCAACGTACTTACTCATTTACTGACCACCTGGAAATGAGCAATAACAGTAATCTGCAAAGAAAGTGCAGACCACATGCTCCACCCACTAGACCACCAAAGATTATAACCCATTGTCAGGAATAAATGCTAACCACCCAACCTTCAAGGGATTTTACCGCCTCCCTGGAATGTAAGCAGAAGAGGGGGTAACAAAATATGTATTTGTTTAAAGGAGCACTATAGTCAACATATAAAAGCAAGAAAGACAGGTCCCCTAGCCTTCTTTCTTCCTTTTATATGAACTTCCCATTAAAAAAAAAAAATCAGAGTCCTTTTTATGATATAAACTTACCGCCGTTCCAGAGCCGAGCTCCTCAGCAGGCCATGCCCCCCTTTTTCATCAAAATTACGATGCAACAGGGCTCAATCAGACGCTTCTCTTAGAAGAGCGTCATAGCGATCTGGAGCACATGCACAGCTACGCACTGCACCAATCGCGGTCTTAATAGAACGGCATTGAATGCCGCCCTATGAATGAACACTGAGCGCTCTACCATGCATGTGCGCGGTATGCGCGTTCGCGAGCTGAGCTGACTCCTACGGCAACCCTCCAGCGCAAAGTATATAGAATACTAACACTATATATAAATATATCTCTATATATAGTGTTTGTACACAAACACACACATTGAAAATAAATATTGTTAAACATACAGGGAGTGCAGAATTATTAGGCAAATGAGTATTTTGACCACATCATCCTCTTTATGCATGTTGTCTTACTCCAAGCTGTATAGGCTCGAAAGCCTACTACCAATTAAGCATATTAGGTGATGTGCATCTCTGTAATGAGAAGGGGTGTGGTCTAATGACATCAACACCCTATATCAGGTGTGCATAATTATTAGGCAACTTCCTTTCCTTTGGCAAAATGGGTCAAAAGAAGGACTTGACAGGCTCAGAAAAGTCAAAAATAGTGAGATATCTTGCAGAGGGATGCAGCACTCTTAAAATTGCAAAGCTTCTGAAGCGTGATCATTGAACAATCAAGCGTTTCATTCAAAATAGTCAACAGGGTCGCAAGAAGCGTGTGGAAAAACCAAGGCGCAAAATAACTGCCCATGAACTGAGAAAAGTCAAGCGTGCAGCTGCCACGATGCCACTTGCCACCAGTTTGGCCATATTTCAGAGCTGCAACATCACTGGAGTGCCCAAAAGCACAAGGTGTGCAATACTCAGAGACATGGCCAAGGTAAGAAAGGCTGAAAGACGACCACCACTGAACAAGACACACAAGCTGAAACGTCAAGACTGGGCCAAGAAATATCTCAAGACTGATTTTTCTAAGGTTTTATGGACTGATGAAATGAGAGTGAGTCTTGATGGGCCAGATGGATGGGCCCGTGGCTGGATTGGTAAAGGGCAGAGAGCTCCAGTCCGACTCAGACGCCAGCAAGGTGGAGGTGGAGTACTGGTTTGGGCTGGTATCATCAAAGATGAGCTTGTGGGGCCTTTTCGGGTTGAGGATGGAGTCAAGCTCAACTCCCAGTCCTACTGCCAGTTCCTGGAAGACACCTTCTTCAAGCAGTGGTACAGGAAGAAGTCTGCATCCTTCAAGAAAAACATGATTTTCATGCAGGACAATGCTCCATCACACGCGTCCAAGTACTCCACAGCGTGGCTGGCAAGAAAGGGTATAAAAGAAGAAAATCTAATGACATGGCCTCCTTGTTCACCTGATCTGAATCCCATTGAGAACCTGTGGTCCATCATCAAATGTGAGATTTACAAGGAGGGAAAACAGTACACCTCTCTGAACAGTGTCTGGGAGGCTGTGGTTGCTGCTGCACGCAATGTTGATGGTGAACAGATCAAAACACTGACAGAATCCATGGATGGCAGGCTTTTGAGTGTCCTTGCAAAGAAAGGTGGCTATATTGGTCACTGATTTGTTTTTGTTTTGTTTTTGAATGTCAGAAATGTATATTTGTGAATGTTGAGATGTTATATTGGTTTCACTGGTAATAATAAATAATTGAAATGGGTATATATTTGTTTTTTGTTAAGTTGCCTAATAATTATGCACAGTAATAGTCACCTGCACACACAGATATCCCCCTAACATAGCTATAACTAAAAACAAACTAAAAACTACTTCCAAAAATATTCAGCTTTGATATTAAAGAGTTTTTTGGGTTCATTGAGATCATGGTTGTTGTTCAATAATAAAATTAATCCTCAAAAATACAACTTGCCTAATAATTCTGCACTCCCTGTACACACACTCTCTATCTATTTCTTTCTATCTATCAATTTCTTTCTATTTCTCACACTCACTGTCTCATACTCACACTGTCACACACTCACTGTCTCTCTCACACTGTCTCACGCTCTCTATGTCTATTTCTTTCTAGCTATCTGTTTCTATCTTTTTTCTATTTCTCTCTCTCTCTCTCTCTCTCTATTGTTTTCTTCCTATTTATATCTATCTATCTTTATCTATTGTTTTCTTTCTATTTCTATATCAATCTATCATCTATTTCTCACACTCTGTCTCACTCTCACTGTCTCACTCACTCTGTCTCACTCACTAACACTGTCTCACTCGCACTCACTCTCACACTGTCTCACACTCAATTTTTAAAATAAGGTGTGCCGAAACCAACGTCCGAGTGGGCCTGTAAATAAAAGAGGGCAAAAGAGAAGTTCGAAAAAACACACTTTATTGCATTTGTTACATAACTAAATTCCTGAAGGCTTGACGGAGCTCTCTTTCTGGTCGTGGAATGTACGTATTGTATATGGAGGATTTCCAACGACACAGTCTCTTAATGATGTGGACCGGGGTGTTTGTACTAGAAGCTGATGAAGTGGCTCCTATGCGGAAGGAATGCCCGGAGAACGAAGCTGGGTTGTAACCCAGTATTCCCAATAAGATTCTAACATGCGTGGTGAATTTTGCTGTAGTGAGTGGGTGCCCTTGTAGTTGTAAGAGCGGTGAGTCTGGTAAGTGCGCGTTATGAGTTGACCTTAGGTGGTCTAGTGCCTTAACTGGGCACCAAGCATTATCTGTTGGAAAGAGAGGAATGATAGTGGGGTGTAGTGAATGATTAGTTTTGGTAGATGGGATCGTGAGAATGTAGTAATCGTCTACTTTTGTGAGTTGTGAGGTTTTAAGGCTGTGTGTGATATCTCCTTGACAAACAACGGTAACTTCCCTAGGTCTTAGGAACCCATAAAAAGCTAAATAGATAGCAGATTTGATCACCAGGTTTGTGTTGGGATCAAATGGGGATTCGTCAAGGAGATTGCTAAGTAATCTAAAGATAGGCCCATCTATCGGAAGTCTGGTGGTGATAAGTGGAACCGAAACTTTAGAGATACCCTTTAAGATTTTTTTGATGGGGTATGATGACAAAAAGGGGGTGTTGTTAGGGAAATTTGTGAGGCTGTGATGCTGCACCCCCGTGAGGTATAATTTAATTGTATTGTGGGAAAGTTTTAAATGTAAGTGGCAAAAGCCACCCTAGTTTGGGTAGAAAAATCGCCTTGTAATCCGAATTCAGCTGTGAATTTATTGAAAACGGTAAGTGCCCTACTGTAGGTGATAGCTGTGTTAGGTGATAGTGCTTGGTGCGTAAGAGTCCTAGCGTGGTGCATAAGTGTGTTCAATCCAGGATTAACTCGTGAAACCTCGGTGTTCTGGATGGTTGATGGTGAGCTGACGGACGTGCCTGGAAGAATACCTGGAATTGAGATCGAGACAGAGCATCAGCGGCCGTGTTGTGGATATGGGGATGTGAAAGCAAATTAAGTGGAACTGGACGGTTGCTGCAAGCCAGGTCAGCTTGCGAATCAGCCACATTATGGTAAGGGAGGAAGAGCGCCTCTTGTTAATGATATTGCAAGCTGACGAGTTGTCGGAATAGCATTTTACTGCCTTAACAGACCAGAGATGACCCCAAGTGTGTGCGGCCGCCACGATGGGGTAAATTTCAAAAAGTGCTGAAGTTTCTCTAAAACCCGGCAAGGCATCCGTCTCAGTGGGGCAGTGACCCCTAAACCAGTGATTACCGAATATAGCTGCGAAACCCGTGTTGGCTGCAGTGTCAGTGTAAATGCAGGGTGAGGAGTCAGAGAGAGGGGGAATAAACATGGAGATACCGTTCCACTCTGTCAAAAAACATCCCCCACATGAGTAGGTCAGCTTTGGCATGATGGTCAAACACAATTGGACAGGACGTCCGGTACCCCGTGAAGCAGACAAAGAAGCCAGGTTACAAAAGACCTTCCCTGCGGAATGATGTGCATCACGAAATTCAGGGACCCCAATAAGGACTGAAGTTCTTTCCTGGTGCATACATCATTCCGCAGGAAGATGTCTATCTCCCCTCTCAAGCGGACCAGTTTGTCGGGGGGAAGGCTGGCGCGGAAGGTACCAGAGTCCAGCTCTATCCCCAAGAAAGTAAGTTTAGTAGTGGGGCCAATCGTTTTAAAGGTACCCCGAGAATGGAAAAAAGTGCTGAGGATATCGGTGGGTGTGCGTGCGCTTGGTTCTATTATGAGGAAGTCATCCAAATAATGAATGACGGCGTGACACCTTAGAATGTTCAGAAGCAGCCAGCATAGAGTTTCTGCAAAAATATCAAACAGTTTAGGGCTGCTTCTGGACCCGAAAGTGAGTCGCGTGGAAAAATAGTACCTGTTTCGCCATTTAACACCGTGCAAGTGCCAAAGTGATGGGTATATGGGCAGTAATTTAAATGCATTGGTTATGTCTGTTTTGCTAAGCCAAGCATTGCTACCAGTTGAAATTATGGTTTGTATAGCGTTGTCAATTTTTACGTACTGTAGTGAGAATTCGTCTGCAGGAATGAGTGCGTTAATGCTGGGAACAAAAGAAGAGTGCGGTGCCGATAAATCGATAATCATGCGCTTTTTATTTGAGTATTTGTGCACAGCCATTCCAATGGGGTTAGTGCGCCAGGAGGAAAACGGTGAGGAGGTAAAGGGGCCGATCATGAAACCTTGTGCTATTTCTGTGGAAAGGAGAGCGTCCGTGGCCTCTGGGTCTAGGCAGGCTGATAGGAGATTGGGGCATTCAAGCGTGCCTGAGGGAATGGCTACGAGACCCGTGAGAAAGCCCTGGGTGAACCCTGTTAACAAATATTCCACTAGAGGCCTACTTGGATGAGTTTTCAAGTAAAAAAACAGGTTGTCGATATTAATGTCGGTTAGTCACTTGCTAGGGGACACCTGGCCGGACACATGGTCTTAGTGTGTGCCCTGAAGCAGATAGAGCAGATGTGCAACAATCTACAGGCACTGAAGCTGCAGGAACCTGCATTGAAATTGTTGCACACCTGAGCTTTCCCTAGAAAGGAGATGGGCCTACCCAGTTTATCCCGCTGACCACCCTCATGTTTATTGTGAGGAGTGGAAGTGGATTGAGGGGTGGGAGTGGGGATGGATGGATCAGCCACAGAAGGGCACAAATCAGCCAAGTGAGTTGAAGAATTACATATGGCACAGGACGGGGGCCTCAAACCAGCGAAGTGGCGATAATTCTGTATCCATCTGACACCAGTTAATTCTTATGTTAAATTGTTTCAGATGTGTCGCCGCTTTCGCTGATATCAATTTATGATAAACATAAAAAGATGAGCCCCCGTACGTGACGCCCAAATCCACTACTTTATGGAGATAGAGGTTCAGTTCCTCTCTCCTGTGGGGATATACCGAGCAGATAACATCACGGTATATCCCGAAAGCCAAAAACGAACTTGGGAATAAATCATTTTTTATTGAGCCTAAGGTCTTTGGTTTTAAGAACCACCGAAATATCCCCAAAGTTATAAGCCCTGTTCTCCAGTACGTCTTGGGAGGCTATAAGCAATGACACACGTCCTTCCCATCCAGGATTTCTTTCCTAATGGAGTCTGGGACGGAGTGAGCTGGTGACACAAAAGGAGACTTATCTGAGGCAGGAGTTGAAGGAGAAAGTATAGGGGCAGGAGTTGGTGCCATAGGTACTGCCGGGGTGAGGGCTGAGAGGTCAGGAAGGTTACCTGGGGAGGCTATGGCACTCTCGACCTTGCTTAACCTGCTGTTCAAGGTCTACAGGTTGGCCAGGATTGCCGCAAGGGTGTCCTGGGTGGCTATGCCAGCGCCAGATTGTTGACCTTGAGAGCTAGTGCCTGGCCTAGGCTCAGGGGCCTTGTATGTCAAAAGTCTGTAGAGTTCCGCCTTACGTGCCATAGCCGGAAAGGGGATGCCCCTAAGCCTAAGTTCGGCCGTAATTTTTGGAATAGTCCACGCTCTCAAGGACGTAGGAGTAGAGGGGGGTGAGAGATTCGCCTGGAGACTCAGGTCTGATAGGAGTAAACAGAATCTCATTGGTAGGCAACTCGTCAATGGGAGCCGGATCTTGAGACATTCTAGAAATGAATTAATGAATTGGATTTAGTAGGGGCGTATGAGAAAATGAAATGGGGGGGGGGTTCCTAAGGTGAACTGGACTGTAAGGCTATTGCCGAAGCGAAAAACTTAACTGTGACTAGTGACAGATGAGGCCCTACTAGTGCCAAGTGGCGGTGAGAGGCTCTATCTATGATTTGGCCGAGGTAAGTAAGTTGCCACAGATGTGGTGGTGGGATGTTGGCCTCTCGATGACATTTAAGAGGTTCAAAACGTGTGGCCATGGAAAGTGAGGCCCTGACTACTGCCCTGTAGAAGGACGAATGAGGTGTTTACCTATGATTTGGACGTGGGGCCGTACCTCCGTGTTGAGGTGGGAAATGGCTTTGTGGGACATGAAAAACCTCGTTAAGCTAGGTCCGGAGCCCAGACCCTGTAAGCCAGTTCACACACCTTCTATGGGATACTTGAAAATTAAATAATTGGTGGATACTAACCTTCATAGTGGTTATACCCTGGAGCTTGAACCTTTGAGTATTTAAGTAGAGAGGCGCAGTAGTTGGCGATATCGTAGAAGAACCTAGGGGTTTGAGACAGATGTTGATCTGTGTGAGCGTGACGTATGAGCGAAATGTGAGCTCCTGACAGAGTGACAAGTTTAGAGTGAAGGCTGCCTGAGGCCTTGAAAAATACATGAACTGAAGTAAATTAAAAACAGTACCTGGTTTGCATCAATTTAGCTGTAATATACAACAAATGGGCGATCTGTGGAGACCAAAGAAATTTAACAGAGCGAAGATTAATATCTGTGCGTCAAGAAATTATATAATATTGTGTAATTATTATCTCTAATAGCTGAGACAGATGATGTGTGTGAACGTGACGTATGAGCGCAACGTGAGCTCTTGACAGAGTGACAAGTTAGAGTGAAGGCTGCCTGAGGCCTTGAAAATATAGAAACTGAAGGAAATAAATACAATACATGGTTTGTAAGACAAGAACCAGGACTTGGCAATTTAGCTGTAATATACAACAAGATATATGACCTGTTAATATATGCACAAAAAGCAATGGTACAATATTGTCAAAAAGTAACTCTTGTTTAACAGCTAATTTCTTTAGATTTGGGCAAGCTACATAAACCTTTATTAACATAAAGAAAGGAATCAACCAATAACCACTGACTGGCATATGAAAACTGACCCAAGCCGCAACGGAAAGCATGTGTGAAAGTTTTCACAGATAGAAGCATTTTGCCGTAATATATATTAGAAATGTGTAGAAACTGAGAATACAACCTTTACACATACTGTTTAAAAGCATAGCATGGATTCTGAGAGCCAACAGACACTGTCCTAATGCAGTTACACATAAACAATCAGTTACCTAGACAACAAGTGTAACGTTAACTGAAGCTGGTGTGTAGTATAAGAGACAGGGTATTTACATACCGCGAATCCTACTAATTCGTGTGGGGGGGAGGGGTACCGACGAATGGTTGTACCAACCGATCCCCGAGGTGCTTGAGCGTGGAAACCGTGGGTGGTCTCATGTACAGTGATCCCATGTGCGTTCCAGCCCCCTGTTAAGACCCCCGAGCGGCGTGGAGGAGACCGGAATGAGGGGTAAGTGTGACTCACGGTTTGGCTGTTTAGGAAGCCAGATCGCCGCACCGGACAGAGGATTCTGCCGGAGACTGCAGCTGGATAGGACGCCCGGACCGATAGTCAGCAAACTGGAGTCAGTGGAACCGGAAGTTGAGCGGAACACTTGAACTCGAGCGTCAGAGGTGAGTAGGGGCTGGGAGCTTAAATAGGGGACTTACTCCTCCCACAAATTCAGGCCTAATGGCCTTTCTACATATGATCTAAGTATATTATTATTTTTTTTTACACTGATTTTAACTTTAATTTATTTTATTTCTAGTCAGCAGGGGGACTAACTGTCATTACAGGCAGTCCCCCTGCTGGCAATGCAGCAGCCAGCCATCCCGGCCATGTGATTGTGAGGTCCTCACAAGGACCTCACTCTCACATGGCCGGGGGGGACCGGAGGAGGGATCGCTGGCGACCGGGTAAGTAACAAAAAACTGGAGGGTGTACTATTACGCCCCGCGGCGTTTAGAGCCGCTTAGAATAGGGCATAATAGTACGCCCTCCGTTTTTAAGGGGTTAATCACAGACTTCTGCAAAGTCTAGCTTGCCATTAATAGAACAGGATATAAGAAATTCTAAATTAAAAAGGGTTTGCAATAAAGGAAGTGTAATATTAGATGACTCTTTACTGGAAGTGTTTAGGAAGGCTGTGTAAGTCACATGCAGGGAGGTGTGACTAGGGCTGCATAAACAAAATGATTTAACTCCTAAATGGCAGAGAATTGAGCAATGTGACTACAGGGGCATGATCTATACACCACAATTGCTTCATTAGGCTAAAGTTGTTTTGGTGACTAGAATTTTTTTGTAATTTTTTTTTAAATAGTTACTGCTCCTGATAGGGTTTAAATCTTATGATTCATTTTAAAGTAAAAACTTGTCATATCTTAGTATAAGTGTATATTATAAGCGTTAGTGTATATAACACTGTGTGTGTGTATATATATATATATATATATATATATATATACACATATACATAATTGTGAGTTTATATATCAGTGTGTTTATATCAGTGTTATGGCATATTATCATTATGTGTGTATATATATCAGTGTGTGTGTATATAGATCAGTGTGTGTGTATATATCAGTGTGAATGTATATTTCAGTGAGGGTATATTATCAGTGTTATGGCATATACTCAGTGTCAGTATATGTTTTATGTTTGTTATTGTATATTATCAGTGTATATTATCATTGTTATGGTATATTATCAGTTAGTGTATATTATCATTGTTATGGTATATTATCATTGTTATGGTATATTATCAGTGTTATGGTATATTATATGGCCAGATGTTACTGTTCCCATATTAGACTGATTGGTCCTCCTCCCCTCCCGTCCCCCTGTCTCCCTCACACTCACACAGCCAGCCCTCGGTGTGAGTGTGGTGTGAGTAGGAAGTCCATGGCCCGGGCTCCATTCCTGTCGCTCTGCCTCCATAGTGTGGGATCAGGCAGAGCGCTGCTCGCTGATGCAATGCGGTCTCTCTGGCTGTGAGTTCAGGAGGAGGAGGAGGGGGAGCCAGCGGCTGATGGCTCAGTGCCAACATGACCAGTCACCGCGCGCGGGGCTGGCACTCCTATCCTGGAGGCTGTGCCGAGCGCGGGCAGGGATCCGGAGGAAGAACTGCTCCAGGAGACAGTGTGCCATCATGGGCTCCCTGGGCGTCCTGCTGCTCGGCGCTCTGCTGCTCTACTCCCGGTCCCTGGCCTCCACTCTGCATGGACACGGCCAGCCTGTCAACACCAGACCTATCATTGGTAAGAGACCCGGCCAGGGGCCAGCATGGACAGGCATCCCTGGGATTGCAGGGTGTTGGGTATCACAATGTATCACTGGCTTCCACTGACCATCTGAGTGTAATGACTCTGTATGATGACCAGGGACCACAGCACCAGAAACAGATGTGTTGTAGTGATTGGCCCATCCAGACATTAAAATATAAAATGCATTTAGTAAGATAACAGGACAGAGAGAGTGCTGAGAGAGACAGAGAGGTATTGTGATCCCCAGTCTTCTAATAAAGAAGCCCATGTTTTATTGTATCACTATAAATAGTTACACTAGCATTTCTCCTTAATTTACAATTTCTCTGTTACTAAAGCAGTCTGTTCTTACCTGATTCACTGCTAGCAATCAATTTCTATTTATTGTCCTGCTGTTACTAATCCAGTCTATTTATAAAGAAATCTATTCTAAAAGGTACAAACCCGATAAGGAAAGATGAGTAAACATGTTCAAGGAGGGTAGTGTATTTACGTATTGAATGACGCAGAACAAATGTGCTTTTATTTTCCAATAGGTATCAGAATACAACATGATTTGTTTGTTTTTCCTATCATATCTTTTAGCGTTTAACAGTAAGAGTAATCCTTTGAACGAGCTCTAGTTCATTTTAGACTTTACTTAAAAAAAAACATGTTCTTAAGTCAAAGTTTTATTTAGAGCTGTGTTTACCTGTAATACATACTGTGCAGTTAGTCATTTTTATATTTTAGTATAAATTATTCATCTGGCAGGGGAAAAAACTAGCAGTACTCAATTAGTCTTGGGCCTACAGGTAGTTAATCCTAGTACTTTAGTGTACATGGCAATTCCAATGTTATGTAACGTGTTCTCTGATGGGTTCTTGTATTCCTTTCAAACCTGATTTTCAGAGTTTGTGCTGGTTATTATTTGTAACTTTCTGGATTTGTGAGGTTGACAATGGCAAATTGACGGCAGTAATACAAATTATTAAAACACTTGGTGCTCTGTCTGCTTCTTTAAGATTACAATAGTATTCTTTTTTTGGGACAGATTTTAAGGGTTACGCCAAAGAAAAAGTGTTTTCATAAAAACTGGTTCTGCTTAGAATCACCATTTTTGTGGTGGTTTGCCACTCAAACAAATAAAGAAAAGAGCTAAACATTCTATTTTCCCTGGTTTCAAAGTGAAATGCTGTACATGCAGACTCTAGGCAAATACATTTTTGGTTGTTGACGCTTACCCTATACCAGTAATGGCGAACCTTTTTGAGCCCGAGTGCCCAAACCGCAATACATGCAAACTTTTTTTCCCTCAAAGTGCCAACACAGCAATTAAACCTGAATACTCAGGTTTAAGTTTAGAAAAAAACAACTTGTACAGTTGTCCGAACTAATTAACATCTTTTGTTTTAAAAGAAGAACACAACAACAGAGAGTTCAATGATACAAATTTTAAATAATGATATAAATAATAGATAAAATTAAGCTTATATTTATTAGTATCTCCAACAAATGCAATACATACACACAGACTACTGAATACAGTCACAGACTGCTGAACACATTCACACACCGACTGCTGAATGCATACACACACACACACACTGCTGAATACTTAAAGACTACTGCATACACACACATACTACATTGAGGGGTGCAGTGAATGTGTTGTGTGGAGTGCTGTGTGTGGGGGGGTAGGTTGCTGTGTGTGGAGGGTAGGGGTGCTGTGTGTGGTAAAGATACATAAAAAAAAAAAAAAGAAAAAAAAAATAAAAGATTGAAGAATCTTTCTTTATCCCAAAGATGGGAGGGGGGGAGGGGACACAGCCAGCCCTGGTGGTCCGGTGGTGCTAAGTATGTGGCTGGCTGCAGCTTTCCTGTCCTCCTGCGCAATGCTGGAGGACAGGAGAGCTGCAGCCTGCTCGCGGGAGAACAGGAGAGCTGCTTCCCAGATCCCTCCCCCTGCCTCCAGGTCCTCTCGACACGATAGCAGAGCAGGCACCTGCAGGCGTCAGCGTCCCTCTCCCCCTGTGACTTATGGCCGCATGCCAACTGGCTTGGCATGCCACCAGTTCGCCATCACTGCCCTATACCAACCCCCTAACCAAATGCTTGTTGACTGACGGCATTTCCCCTTGCCTGAAGTGGAGGGAAGGTGGACTGTCACTTCCGTGCGCCGAGAGGGATGGCAAGTCAAGAGGGGAATATTTATGGGAGGACATTAATAGCAGAAGGAGGGAGCTATACCACTATTGGCTGTCTAGTGCCAGCATGCTGTGTCTGCTGGCGTCAGACACCAGTTGTGCACATTATTTATTTTAGCCAGACCAAAACTCTTCTTGACTGTCCAATGAGGAATTACACTTTTGGCCATTGATGATCTCAGCTAATGAGGCGGAGCTGGAGCAGGGAGACTGGCGCTGTGGAGGCTGAAAGGTAAGTAAGGCATCTTTTTAACCCTATTTGTATTCCTAACACCACAGTTTTCCTTTAAAGGAACTCTATAGGGTCAGGATCACAAACATGTATTCCTGACTCTATAATGTTAAAACCACCATATCGGTTGCTTGCCCTCTTTATCCCCCATAAAAGGTAATAAAACTTACCTTATTTCCAACACTGCCTGCGTCTGCTGGTGTTGGCCCCTCCCCGGATCCGCCTCCTTGCTGACATCATCAAAATGTGTTGTGTTTTTTTTAACCAATCCAATGCTTTCCGTTATGGGGACGGCGCCATCCACCGGCTTGGCCAATCAGCACCTACTCATAGTGATGCATTGAATCAATGCATTTCTATGAGGAAAGTTCAGCATCTCCATGCAGAGTGTGGAGACGGAGACGCTGAACGGAAGCATCTCCAGTGGCATTTGAGGAGTGGCCACTGGAGGTGACCTTATGGGGCAATGTAAACACTGCCATTCCTCAGAAATACAAAGAAACAAGTCTTGCGCTCAAGCTCCCATCACTCCTGGGTGGCAGCAATGACCATAGTACACATCAGCCAAAATACATATAGTAAAAACCAAAGAAAAAGAGTTACCTGCGCTCTTTCCACATCCCTATGTATTTTTAAACAAATTGAGGTTTTTAGTTACCTCCAATGGCCATGAGAGGGTAAGCCCACCTGCCACATCAAGGCAGAGCTCTCAGGTGGGTCCTAACGCTAACCATTCACCTTGCTTCTTTGAGCTTCTGGCAAAAATATCTCTAATGAGACAGAAATGGGTATTTTTTATATACATCCCTACATGCTTATTAACCCTTAATAGGCAACACATGGGATGGGCAGCAGCATTGCAACCTAGCTGTGTGATACAAAAGTGAATACAAATACAAAGAAACTAGTCCTGCACTCATACTCCCATCACTCCTGGGCGGCAGCAATGACCATAGTACACATCAGCCAAAATACATATAGTAAAAACAAAGAAAAAGAGTTACCTGCGCTCTTTCCACTTCCCTATGTATATTTAAACAAATTGTTTTTTTTTTTTTTCTACTGTACCTATTATACCTTTAATTAACGGAGGTCTTGCTTGTTTCCAGTGCCTCGCAATGAGATAGAAGGTGGTGAGTAGAACGTGGGTTACCACCACTTTGTTCTCCCATAGTATGTTTGAGGGTAGACCCAGTAGTAATAGGTGCAAGGGTTTCTTTGGTATGGCTAGTTTCGCAATGTCGCTCACCATGGCATGTATCTTTGTCCACATTTGGAGGAGGACCGGGCAGGTCCACCATATGTGGAACATTGTGCCCTTCTGTGTGTCACATCTCCAATACTTAGGAGAGCCATCTGGGTATATGCGTGCTAACCTGGCTGGGACCATGTACAATCTCAGTAAACATTTTCTGTGCAGTTCTATGTGTGTTGCACAATGTGTGAGCCCTTTTAGAGCCTGCAGGCACATTTCCCTCTGTGTATTTGAAATGGGCTCCTCGCAGTCTCTAGCCTATTCTACTGCGTATTGGCATTGTTCAAAGGGTTGATGATTGTTTATTATTATTTTATTATTTTTATAGCGCCAACAAATTCCGTAGCGCTGTACAATGGGTGGACTAACAGACACATAATTGAGATCAGACCACTGACGTACAGGAATGGGGGGGTTGAGGACCCTGCTCGATGAGCTTACATGCTAGAGGGAGTGGGGTATAGTGACACAAAGGGTTAAAGTAGGGGAATTAAATAGTTTGTTACAGAAGGGTTTATTGAGTGCTTGGTAGGTCATTTTTGACAGTTGCAGGAATGGAGTCATGGGGTGGGGGATGAGAAACCTGCTGACAGTTTAATTGATACGCTTTAATGAAGAAGTGAGTTTTCAAAGATTTTTTGAAGAAGTGGAGGCTGGGTGAAAGTCTGATTGAGGAGGGAAGGGAGTTCCACAGAATAGGTGCAGCCCTGGAGAAGTCTTAAAGGCGAGCATCAGAGGTGGGGATCCGGGCAGAGGATAGGCGTAGGTCTTGGGCTGAGCGCAGGGGTCTCGACGGGACATACTTGTGTATGTGGGAGGATAGGTATGTTGGAGCAGCATTATGTAGGGATTTGTAAACAAGCGCCAGAATTTTGAATTGGGCCCTATATCTAACTGGAAGCCAATGCAGGAACTGACAGAGTGTGGAAGTGTGGGAGGTGCGACCGGACAGGAAAATAAGCCTTGTTTATTGCCTGGTAGCACACGGATAATTGTCCCCTCAATGGGGCAAGTCCCGCACATAATTTTTCAAATCAGGACATGGGTTTGTCCAGGCCTTCCTGTGATTTTTGTTCTTTATTGGAATCTAAAAAGTGTGTAACTTGGAGGTATGTGTATTGCATGGTCTGAGGGATGTCATATTTCATCGCCAGCTGTGAGAATGATAGCCTTTTGTCCCTGTAGTAAAAGCAGTAGATGTGGTGGACCCCCACTCGCTGCCATGCAGCTGCTTTGAAATGTGAAATCCAGTACGGTAAAGCAGATATTGGTGCGCCAACACCGCTGCTTTATGGTACAAAAGGAGATCAGGGACCCCTATGCCTCCCTCAGTGTAGCTTCTGTGCAGTTGTTTCATGGCTACTCTAGGTTTTTTTCCTGCCCAGACAAATCTCGTTAGATCTTGTTGCGCCTTTTTAAAGAAGGACAATGGTGCCACTATTGGCAGTGAATACATTTATTTTAGACTTTATAGAGGGAGCATTCCATAATCCCTACTTCTACCTTGATGTTTTGTTTTTTTCCTTGAGTCCAGCTTAGTAGTTAGGGCTAGAATTAGGTTTAGTGTTTAGGGTTACTACAATACTTATCCCCAAATTCCATCCTACTTATAGGTCTGTTGAATGTCCACAATTCTCACTACAAACAACTGGGCAATTGGAATAAAACCACAGGTTTCATTCTCTCCGTTGTTCCAGTAAATATTACTTTTACATTAATGCATTATAAAACAATACAATTAAAAAAGGTGCACAACAAGAATTATCACTTTTCTTTAAAAAGTGGTCTCAATGCCAGTTTGGAGTATTACTTATAGAGAAAAATTATAGGGAAAAAACCCTTCAACTGCGCTAGAAGCTGTACTGCCGTTTCGAGATATTTCCATAAACCAAAGACCTAACAAGGCCTTGATTTACATTTTTTGGATAAACTTTTTTTATATTCATGTATTTATTTTTGCTGTGCAAATGAGTACATTCAGACTTGCGATGCCACAACAACAATGGCACGTTTCCGATCACATACACTGTGATATGTTGGTATGATATAGAAAGTAATTGCACAATTTTATGTGACTAAAATAACAGCAATAATAAATCAGGCTAGGTCATCATGTCTAACTGTCAGGCAACAGTATAGGCGTAATATTTATCAAAGACAAACTGTAAAACGAGTAATGCTAGCTGAACAGGAATCATAGTTTACTACAATTGCCACTTAAAGGGATACTGTAGTGCCAGGAATACAAAGCTGTATTCCTGGCACTACTGATTCCGCTGCCTCCCCCTTCCTCGCGCCCCCTACTACACCCTTTATTTACTTACCTGATTGTAGCGTCGATATCCCTCGGTGCTGGGTCAAAGCTCCGCCCCCTCATCCATCCCGCGACAATTAGACCTCCCCATAGGGAAGCATTGAATCAATGCTTTCCTATAGAGAAAAATCTGGCGCTGGAGGTCCTCATGCAGAGCGTGAGGACGTCCAGCGTCAGATAACGGACCAAAAGTCTATTTCAATTCCAGAAGCCCTGTAGTGACTGTCTGGTAGATAGCCACAGAGAGCAGACTTAGAACTGCAATGTAAACATTGCAGTTTCTCTGGAACCGCAATGTTTAACATTGCAGCACCAAGTGCAATAGGGACGCAGCACCCAGACCACTTCAATGAGCTGAAGTGGTCTGGGTCCCTACAGTATCCCTTTAACTTTCTAGGTGGTCCTGCTGCACAGGAAACTAAGCAGACATTATCATTTAAAGCAGTGGTTTCCAAACCAGTCCTCAAGGCACCCCTTCCAGTCCAGGATTTAGGGATAACCATGTTGTGTCTTAAGTGTTTTTTGTTTTTGTTTTTTTCTTATATCTAAAAACATCTTAGACACAAATGGGTAATCCCTAAATCCTGGACTGTTGGGGAGTAGTGATGTCCCGAACGGCTCGCTGCGAACGGTTTGCTGCGGACTCATCATTGAGTAAACTTTGACCCTGTACCTCACAGTCAGCAGACACATTCCAGACAATCAGCAGCAGACCCTCCCTCCCACCTCCTGGACAGCTCACTAAGAATACAGCTTCAAAATGGATGCGGTCCAGGAGGTGGGATGGTCTGGGAGGGAGGGTCTGCTGCTGATTGTCTGGAATGTGTCTGCTGACTGTGAGGTACAGGGTCAAAGTTTACTCAATGATGAGTCCGCGGCAACCCGTTCGGGACATCACTATTGGGGAGTACTTGAGGACTGGTTTAGAAACCACGGATTTCAAGTAAAGAGTACTAAATAACATTTTAATGTAACTTGCATCAGAAGAATTTGTTTAAATGTTTTCCACTGGAACTAAGGATATAACTCTACTGCTGCACTACACCAGGTAGAGATCATAAGAGTAGGTCAAATAAAAATATTATCAAAGAGCTTGTCAAAAATATTGCAAACGTAATAAACGTTTAGGGAAGATCATGGGAGTATGTGCAGGATACCATCAATACAGGGCATCCCTGCGGCCCCAGGCCTGTGTGAAAGCCATCATCATCATTAGTCTACTGACTCGTGTCTCTCAGAGGTCAAGTCCTTCTCCCACCAGGGGTAGTTGGAAAATCTGGGTGGTAGCTTGCGCTGGTGGTGTGTGATCTACCGCCAGGTCGATGCAGAGAGGCCAGGCCTCGGGACTGAGGTAGGCAAACAGCAGAATGATGAGAATCTTGCATGATAGAAACTTTATTTACAATTTTATCCAAAAAATATTAAATCATTAGAAACACATATCTTAAATCATATTAGATATTCCTTGTGCTATTTTTTTTCCTTTTTGTGCATGTGTTGGTACGATATGTAGGTGTCAGAGCACCCGTGCACATGCCCATCTTGAGTTGGTAAAGTTGTCCACAACATGGAAGTACAGGGGAGTACATTTTTTACTTCCTTTCACTGCTTTATTTACTCTAGTAAATGCTGCAGTGACATTTACTGGAGTAAGGAATTATCATTTGCAGTGCCGATAACAACTTCATTGAGTTGAGTGTTCCTTTAAGTCATTACTACAGTGAAAAACTTACTGAAATAAAAAAAATTTAATATTTACAAATTAGTTGTTTTTATTTCTAACAAATATTAAAATAGTTTTACTATTGTAAATAATTGTATTGTATTATTTATCAAAACACAGACCTGAAGCTAATGCACTGGTTTCTATGGCTATCCTAAAAATATTCTAAATTGCCCCATTTCCACCATCTTATTTTAGTTGTTGTGCTTGACCTGAACACAATAACAATGAGTCCATTCTGTTGCAGACTGGTTCTATCAGTTACAGTTGCTCTGAACTTTACATATGTTTGTTTCTCAAAGAACCGTGTCAAATCTTAGTTCAAAGACTGTGGAAGGGTAATGTTTGAGAAAATAATTGTTTTTAAGATTTTTAAATGCCAAATGTCAACTGCAGTGTGATTTTAAAGGAATATGTATCTCACTCTGTTTTGTCAATGAAGAGTTTTTCAGTTGATGCTCTCAGCCAATCAGAGACTTTTTTGTGTTTCCAGCCTGGACTGTAGTGGATGTTCATGAGAGCAGCCAACACGCTCTGTATTCAAGACTTTGAGGTTACACCGTTTCTGATAAAGTTGTTATGGTGCCTCGTCATTGCATTCTGTAATATATCCAGAGTAGGAGGTCATGTTTTTAAAATGTTACTATAATGCTGCCTTGTTAGGTTGATAGAATAATTTTTATTTTAGGCCTCAATAATTAATAGCCTAAGTGGCAGAATCTAAAAAGCATCCAATCCACTCAATGTGCCCTCTTGTACATGCATTCATATTAGAAGCATTTCTAAACCTGTATAATGCTGAAGTGTGTAAATTGCCATTCATATTACTGCTCCGAACGTTGCTCTAAATAAAGAGTTAACTTGCCTTTAATCCAGCGTGAGATTATTTGCCACAGTTATGCTCCACCTCCCCAAGATGATCTGGCAATCTGGTCCTTCTCATTGCTAGAACATAAGGTGACTAACCTTGGGCAGACAGGCCTGTACAGCATGTTCTAGGGCTCATATTCTAAGGTGTTAATATACATGAAATAGACATAAATCAGCAGTATAAATTAACTGGATAAATCATTAAGGACATGTTTGTTTTCCCATGAATTACAGGACTTGGCATAAGTACTTTCTTTTGTATGTAAATGCTTGTCAGAGAAGTGTTGGTGCGAAGATATTAATTACACGTTTTGTGTAAATACACAAATCGTTAACTATACGTGACGTGCACCACAAATCAGTGTCCTGAGTCCATTAACAAATGTACGTGACTTATGTTGCCCATAACGTTATTTCGTCTCTTAAATTGTATTAAATAGACCTTCTTTCCTTTTACAGAGGTGTTATTGCACATAAGTGAAATGGACAAATACGGCACCATAACCATAACCTGGTCTGATGGAGTGTCATGCAGGAAAATTATTAGCTGCATATGTTCCCATAAACATCTGCCCCAAAAAAATAAAAAATCATGGAAGCAGTCAGAGGCTTGCATCCACTTGCACAGTTCTGTCTTCTTTATTCTGTTTGTTGTTCCCATGAATGAGAAGCAACATGTGGCTGAATGGTTCATCAATGTGATTCTTCGGCTCATCCTTCTGTGATGCATTCCAAAGCTTGTAGATATCATTCGGTTGTTTGTATGCTAATTATTTCCTTAATTTATAGAAAGCTATTGGTTGGGTGAGATATTTCAGACACTAGGTTGAAGTGGACTGAATATAATCTGAAAACATGTGAAAGAGACTCGAGACGGTCACATTGGGGTTTCGATTTAATGTAGCAAAATGTTTAATAATAAAGCATATGTTAAATAAATTATATATAATATTGGTAAGCACATGATTTACAGAAATCATTTGTGTTTTACTTTTGACATTTATTTGTCTAATGGGCATATGTTGATTGTGTTTTGCTGTTGCAGGAATACTGGCTCAGGAGACACACTTTGAAGAGTTACAATCGTATGGGTCATCGTACATTGCTGCCTCTTATGTGAAGACCCTTGAATCTGCAGGAGCAAGAGTAATCCCTATAAAGTAGGTTTTGTGATTAAGTAGACTTGTGGGTAAACAGTGTGTTGTGGTGTGTTAGGACATGACATCACATGATAAATGAGCAGATCTTCAACTCTGTGCAGTTAGGGTCTCTTTTCACTCCCCCTCCAACATTCCAAACTCAAAACCCATTACAGTGCACTGTAGGAGTTATAGTGCCAGGAGTACCTTTAGAAGTAGTCAGATCATTTTAAAATGTTTTGACTTTTACCTGGGGTCTGCTCCTCATCTTCACCATTACATCTGATCTTCCAGCTCTCTGTTGGCTGTAGTGGAGTACAGAGCGCTGTAGTGATTGTTACTTGGAGTGTCTCTTTAATGAATTTACCAGAATTCATCTACAAGAACTGAGTCCTTGCAGGAATTAGTTCTTTTGCATGCCTGATTGTGTCTAAGGGTTACTCTAACCAAAAAACAGTGTTTTATTAAAGGTTGTTTTTTGAATTATTAAGCCTTACTTGCATGGTTGTTTCCCCCCCACCCGTCCCAAAAAACGCTGTGATGTACCATTTAGCATCTCCTCATAGAGATGCATTGAATCAGTAAATATCTATGGAAAATGTTCAGCATCTTAATGCAGAGTGTGGAGACGCTGAACGCTAGTGCTGCACACAGGAAGCACCTCTAGTGGCCATCTGAGTGATTGCCACTGGAGGTGTGTAAGCCGTGATGTAAATACTGCCTTTTCTCTCAATTCAATTAGATGAAATGGTTATAGTAAATACAGTCAGGGCCGGCCTTAGGTCTTTAGGAGGGCAGTGTAGTGGTAGGTGGGGGAGCATGGGGCACATTGGAGGAAGGTGGGAGAGCAGGAGTAGCGGGGTGGTAGGTGGGGGAGCAGGGGTACAGTGGGCAGTATGAGCAGTCAAGTTGTAGGTGGGGAAGCAGGGGCTCAGTGGGTAGGTGGGAAAGCAGGGGCATGGTGGGGGAGCAGGGGCACAGTGGATAGGTGGGAAAGCAGGGGCATGGTGGGGGAGCAGGGGCTCAGTGGGCAGGTGGGGGAGCAAACCCCCGCCTGCCGATTAGTTCTGCCCCCGCCTGCCGATTAGCTCTGCCCCCGCCTGCCGCTTAGCTCTGCCATTTTTACTATTTTTGATAGACCCATATGGAGCATAATGAAATCCTCCACCAGGGTGCCGTGCCACTACGCTAAACAGTGCGTCCTGCATTATAGTAGTGCTCTGAGCACCCCTTACAGCTGTCACCCAGGGAATGTGTGAGTTGTGTCGTCTGCATGGGGCTCCCTACTGCTAATGGCACCCTTTGTGGTCGCACAGTTCGCACACCCCTAGGGCCGGCCCTGCCTACAGTGTTACTTTAATGGTAGAGTCTTCTTTTAACTTGCTTGCAGGTTGCCTTCATGCCATTCATACTGATGTAATCTCCTGCTATTTCCTGTATTTTTGTGATTAAAGGACCACTATAGTGCCAGGAAAACATACTCGTTTTCCTGGCACTATAGTGCCCTGAGGGTGCCCCCACCCTCAGGGTCCCCCTCCCGCCCGGCTCTGGAAGGGGAAAAGGGGTTAAAACTTACCTTTTTCCAGCGCTGGGCGGAGAGCTCTCCTCCTCCGATCCTCCTCTTCTCCTCCTCCTGGGCTGAATGCGCACGCGCGGCAAGAGCTGCGCGCGCATTCAGCCCGTCGCATAGGAAAGCATTCATAATGCTTTCCTATGGACGCTGGCGTGCTCTCATTGTGAAAATCACAGTGAGAAGCACGCAAGCGCCTCTAGTGGCTGTCAATGAGACAGCCACTAGAGGAAATAGGGGAAGGCTTAACCCATTCATAAACATAGCAGTTTCTCTGAAACTGCTATGTTTATAACAAAAAGGGTTAACCCTAGCTGGACCAGGCACCCAGACCACTTCATTAAGCAGAAGTGGTCTGGGTGCCTAGAGTGGTCCTTTAAGTAACTCCTAGAATCTACAATCATACAGTAAAAAAAAATCCAGTTATCTGTTTGCATGCTTAGTAATTTCATGGTAAACGGCTTCTGAATTACTTTTAGGGAAGGGTTAATAGTGCATTAACATATTAGGTGAAAATAAACAGCATCTTTATTATTATTATATATTTTTATATGTACATTATTTTTTTTTATGGTGAGGATTATTTTATATTTAATTCTTTTTTGGTGAGAGCAAAAAATAGATTACACTGAAAATAGCAAACTCCCCACTGATTTAAAAGAATTCTGGAATTTGCATTTGTTCTTTGTGTTCTGTCTTCAGATATCAGTAAGAATGTTTTTACTGAACTGTAGAATTGAAATCTAAAAAAACTGAGTTTATTTGCATATTTATTATGCCATATTGGGAGAATTGTGCAAACATGATCTTTTAGAGCAGACATTTTGCACTGAGATACAGGTGATACTCGAAAAATTTGAATATTTATTTCAGTAATGCAACGTAAAGGGGGAAACTAATATATGAGATAGACGCATTACACGCAAAGCAAGATAGTTCAAGTCGTGATTTGTCATAAGTGCGTGTAATATTCTAATTTACTGAGATTGTGGATTTGGGGTTTTCATGAGCTGTAAGCCATAATCATCGCACTTATGACAAATCACGACTTGAACTATCTTGCTTTGCATGTAATGCGTTTATCTCATATATTAGTTTCCTCTTTTACGTTGCATTACTGAAATAAATGAACTTTTGCACGATATTCTAATTTTTCGAGTATCACCTGTATGTAAGTAACCATACATATCAGAACTGTTTGTGACAAGTACATTACATTTCAAAATTAGTCTATCTAAATTATTTTTTTATATTGCCTTTCAGGTATGACTTAGTGGTTATAGTGCTTGGAGTGTTTTATTAATACTGTAAGTATTAGCTGTAGAGCAGCTATCATAGAGATGCAACTCTCATTAAAGAGACTCCATACCCATCAAAACAACTTTGGCTTAATAAAGCAGTTTTTGTATATAGATCATGCCCCTGAAATCTCACTGCTCAATTCTCTGCAATTTAGAGGTGGAAGCACTTAAGTTTCTGTTTATGCAGCCCTAGCCACACATTCCCTGGCTCTGACTGACACAGCCTGCATGAAAAAAAAAATGGTTTAATTTTCAGTCAGATGTAACTTATTTTAAAAGTTTTTATCTTCTGCTCTGTAAATTGAACTTTGATCACACACAGGTTCTAGCAAGCTATTAGAGAAGAAGATTTGAAATTCTAAATTAAACATAATTTGCTCTAAAGGAAGTGTAAATATTAGATGACTCTTTACATGAAGTGTTCAGTAATGCTATGCAAGTCACATGAATGGAGGTGTTCCTAGGGCTGCATAAACAAAGTGATAAAACTCCTAAATGGCAGATAACTGAGCAATGAGACTGCAGTGGTATGACCTATACACCAAAACTGCTTCATTAAGCTAAAGTTGTTTTGGGGACTATAGTGTTTCTTTAAGTTTGATCAACCATAAGACAAGCAAAGCACCATGGGAGTTGTAGCTTTACAAGACCAGGACACATTTTGTCTATCCATTCTACAAACAGTTTTAGCTCTTAAAGGTATGTTCTAGGCAACATAACTACTACCTGTTCTATTCACCAAATGGCAGTGCTGTTTCAGGGAGTGTAATGTTGGCAACTGTACTATGTAATCTCATTTACTTATATGTATTATTATTTTTTTTATAGAATCAGTCTTCCTGAGGAAGAATATGTGAAGATATTCAATTCCATTAATGGGTAAGTATTGACAAAAGTTGTTTTTCATATATTACAATACACTGATCAGTCACAACATTAAAACCACTGATATGTGAAGTGAATAACATTGATTATATTGTCACAATGGCATCTGTTAAGGTTTGGGATATAGTAGCATCTGTAAAACGGCAAGTCTTATGAGATGATACCAGTATGCAGTGGCTAGTACCTGCAAACATTGATTCAGAGAAGGACAATTGGTGAACCGGTGTCAGGGTCATGGGTGCCCAAGGCTCATTGATGCACGTGGGGAGCGAAGGCTAGCCCATATGGTTCGATCATATAGAAGTGCTACTGCAGCTCAAATTGCTGAAAAACTTTAATGCTAGCCATGATAGAAAGGTGTCAAACACACAGTGCATGGCAGTTTGCTGCGTTGAGGCTTTGTAGTCACAGACCGGTCAGAGTGCCCATGATGACACCTGTCCAACACCAAAAGTTCTTTGAGTGGAGAAGTAAGCGTTATATCTGAAACATGAAGAGATGGAAGAAGGTTACCTGATCTGAAGAATCACGTTTTCTTTTAGATCAGGTAGATGGCGGGTGTTCAATCAAATTCCCCTACCTCGTGAAAATCTCCTACCCTCGTCACTTCCGGTGAGGGGAATCAGCTGGATCCTGTGCTGCACATGCGTGCTAGCACTCCTGCTACTAATCCACAGCAAGGTCCTGGAAGGTAAGTAAAACTAGTTTTACACTTTCATTACAGTTAGTGCATTCACTAAGCTTAGGCACACGGGACATTTAGGGTTAAGTGAGGGTTCAAATTAGGTTTAGGTAAGTTATTTTAACCTCTCTCACACTTTATTCTTACCCTAACCCTTGGGGTAAGGGTTAAAATAGAGTGAGAGAAATCCCTATTTAGTGATATTCCCCTAATGTGATATATCAGTAAATATGAACAAGTCCCTAATCCTAACCCTAATTTGAACCCTAACATTAACCCTAAATGTCCCATGTCCTAAGCTTAGTGAATGCACTAACTATAATGAAAGTGTAAAACTAGTTTTACTTACCTTCCAGGACCTTGCTGTGGAGATGTAGCAGCACAGGATCCAGCTGATTCCCCTCACCGGAAGTGACGAGGGTAGGGGATTTTCATGGGTAGGGAAATTTGATAGAACACCGGATGCATGTGTGTTGTTTACCTGGGGAAGACATGACAGAAGGGTGCACAATGGGAAGGAGAATTTTTAGGTTCGGATACCTTGGGTCCTGGCATTCATGTGGATATTACTTTGACACGTACCATCTACTTAAAGATTTTTGCAGACCACATACACCACTTCATGGCAGTGGCCTCTTTTAGCACAATAATGCACACTGCAACATTTTTTCAGAAATGGTATGAGGAAAATGACAAAGAGTTCAAGGTGCTACCTTGGATTTCATATTCCCAATATCTCAATCCAATCGAGCATCTGTGGGATGTGCTGGAAAAAACTAATCTTGTGCTCTTTTGGAGTCCATGCCTCAATGCATAAGAACTGTTTTGGGAGCACAAGGGGTACCTACACGATAATAGGCAGGTGATTTAACGTGGTGGCTAATCAGTGTAGGTGCTATACTGCAATGAAGTCTTTTAGGTGTTCTGTTTTTCATTAGAAGTTAAAGGACCACTTTAGTGCCAGGAAAACATACTCGTTTTCCTGGCACTATAGTGCCCTGAGGGTGCCCCCACCCTTAGGGTCCCCCTCCCGCCAGGCTTTAGGGGGAGAAAGGGGTTAAACTTACCTCTTTCTCCAGCGCCGGGCGGGGGACTCTCCTCCTCCTCGGCTGAATGCGCATGCTCGGCAAGAGCCGCACGCGCATTCAGCCAGTCTCATAGAAAAGCATTCACAATGCTTGCCTATGGACGCTGGCGTCTTCTCACTGTGAAAATCACAGTGAGAAGCGCGGAAGCCCTCTAGCGGCTGTCAACGAGACAGCCACTAGAGGCTGGATTAACCCTAATATAAACATAGCAGTTTCTCTGAAACTGCTATGTTTATAGAAGAAAGGGTTAAACCTAGCTGGACCAGGCACCCAGACCACTTCATTAAGCTGAAGTGGTCTGGTTGCCTATAGTAGTCCTTTAAAATAAACTGTTAACAAAATGTGTTAACTCTCTCATCCATGTATAAACCATACTTCATAACAGTCCCGGATTCAGAGGGACCATGCCAAGTTTGGCGTCCTGGCCCCCATCTTGGGTTTATATCCCTGATATCCCTCTTCTGGTGAAATCAAAGACAAATATTCTTATAAGGAGAGCGGTGAACAGACACCAAAGCTGTGGATGTTCAAAACATAGAATAAGGGACATCAATTAAAAATGAAAGATTCTTTATTTATAACTACTTAAATGACTTAAAATTACCTTCTTAGACATCTAAGCCCTCAGTTTATGTCTCCTCACTCTAACTTTTTTTTACCCTTAGCAGCCTCTATAGTGGGCTTAGCTACCTTCTTTTTGATATCACTGTTTGTAGCCAGTGTTGGAGACCAGTGTTTTGAAGGCTTTTTAAGTGGTTATAAATAAAGTCTTTTTAGTTTTCAGTTTGTGTCCCTTATCCTGTGTTGTGAACATCCACCACTTTGATGTCTTTTCACCTCTTTTTATTTACCGTAGGTCCACTTTCTCCACACCGGGTGCCCTTTGCTATAAATTCTCTGTGCACATCATGAGATTGACTTTGCAAAACCGAACTGCATGGGCAACCCTAAATAGAGCTGGCTACTACAGCTTTCAATACATCTGGCGTGTGTTCATGTGTCCCCTTTTTGTACAGGTTCACCACTTTTGGGAAATATCATTCCCTTGTGGCTCACCCACCACCACACACAGTGTTGGTACAATAAATGTATGGATTAAAGAAACACTCCAAGCACAATAATGACTCGTTTCCTTCTGTTCATTGTAGCTGTAGTGTTTCATCTAAATTGATGCAACTAAAAACCCACCTCACCAGCTCACAGTTCTCCCAAAATAACAGATGATCAGAATTTGCTGAGAAAACTTTATCCACTTGTTATTGGGCAGATTTGACTGAACAGGGGTAGATTTGGTTACTCATATTTTTTTTTTTTTTTTTTCATATGTAATGTAAATATTATCACTGTCTTTGCTGATGAAACAGGTGCAAGAAAACTCTGAATATGCCCCATGGGAATAACCCTGGTTGCAGTCATTGGCAGATGGTATGCCATTACTACTAATTTAGAGTCCAGTAGATAATAAACATATGCACAAGTACCTTTCAGCTGACCTGAATCAAATGCCTATCTATCTGTGGACAAATTATTTGATGTGTTAGGCAAATCTTAACAAATTGATTTGTTCGTCCACAGATTGACAGGCATTTGATTTGTTTGGCGCAGTTGAATGCTATTAATGCACAAGTAGTAGATAATGTAGACTTGTTAGAAGTAACTTTTAAGGACTTATTCACTAAACCTCAAACTATAATTGAAAGTTGATTTGAAAATTAAGTCAATAACAAGCTGTGACAATAGCTGAACTAGATATTTTTTTCTAAATCTGCACTTTGTACAGATTTTTTTTATTTGCTTAAAACACTGAGCAAAGCCAATGTTCAGACCAGTGTTTGAGAAACATTCTATGTTTCCCAGATTTCTTGAATTTTAAATGTCCAAAAGAGGAACTTCACTTCCCTGATTTTAACACAGACAAATCGCTAGCTAAAAGTTAGTTATTGGTGTGCTCATTGTAAAAAAAAAAAATTTAAATATATATATATATATATATATATATATATATATATATATATATATATATATATATATATATATATATATATATATATATATATATATATTCATAGTTTGATTTATTTTAATTTTCATGATTTGCCGGGTAATACAAGGCATTAGATGCAAATTAGATCCAGCAGTGTCGTACACACAACACACACAATAAGTAGAGGGTCTCTAGAAGTGACAGTTCTTTAGTTATACATAAATTTGCTGCCTCACTGGTTAATGCATTAACACATTTTGGTGTTTATTCACTAATCAATTCATTGGGGAGGTAATATAAACCAAATTTGGGAAAATATTGGTCAAAGTAGCTGATTTGCAAAGCCAGCTGAATTTGATTTAGTTGTTACGAACTAAAGTTTGCAGTATGGTTAAAAAATTCTCAACAATACTGTGTTTATTGAATGAACTGCCATGCAAAGCTAAGTGCACTGACCGGTGTTTGGGACCCTTTTTGTGTTTCCTAGATACCTTAAATGTTAGTTTTTGTAATTTAATACCAGAAATCATGATGACTGAATATGTTAAGGAATTAGAGCATTAATAAATCTCATTGAATTCAAAGAACTGTAATTTAATTATACTGTAAATAATTTAATTTCTTCACTAGGTAATACGTTCAAACTTTAAGATAATAAACAGAAAGCTAAACTGTAATATTGAGGGCAAAACACAGAACTTTACTGAATTTGAGAATTTGGCATAAAATTTGCATTTTAGTTTTCAGTACTCTGCAGATCATTGTTTACTTGATAAACCATTGTGGGTTGTTTTCTTGAAATTTTATTTGAAAAATAAAATTTTCTTGCATTTTAGGATTCTCCTTCCAGGTGGTGGTGTTGACCTTATGCACTCTGAATTTGCTAAAGCAGCCAAGATATTTTATAACCTGGCTCTAAAGGTACCATCTTACTGAAAATGACTCCTTCTTCTGTGTAACACTATCACAAATCATTGTTTCGTTTGTTGTGCGTATGACATATCAATTTAGGAAGAGTACTGAGAGTGAATTATCTAATAGATTCCAAAGTTTCAGGTAGGTGTGTGTATAGTTTATATATTTTACTGTAGGAATAGTCAGCAAATTAATGAATTAAAAATTGTACTTCTTAAAGTAGTCATCTCATGCACCCTGCCTGGGATGACCACTTGAAACAAATATAAGTGCAGCATTTTCATCATTATAAAATGGAACTATATCATATTGTCTATCAAAAGCGCCTCTATTATAAGTTGTGTGCTGGACTTTTTTTTTTTTTTTGTGCATGACATTGTATAGGGTTGGTTTTTGAGCTTTGTTACCTCCACTGTCTCAGAAATCCCAGAGAATAAATTGCTTCACAAATAGCAACATTTCCTTTGTAACATATTCATTTTGCCTCAGGCCAATGACAATGGTGACTATTTCCCGATCTGGGGAACATGTTTGGGATTTGAAGAACTAACTTATCTTACAAGTGGGGAACTGTTACTAACGTTGACCGAGACAGAAGATGTTTCATTACCTCTCAACTTCAGTCAAGGTGTGTATAAACATTTCTACTAAATGTTCTTACATAGATATCTGAATAGGAGTGTCTTCATTTTTAAAACAAATTATCCATATGTAATGCATATTTAAAGATGTAGATATAGGAAATTATACATTGGTCAGTGTAGATAAAAATATACTAAATAATGTGTTAGGAGTTTAAGATTTTGTGCTGATGATCATCAGCTGTGTGAAGGGGTATACATACATGTCCAGGTAAGGAGGGATTTCCTTGAGAACGGTAGTCAAGTAGTGTGCCGAAACATTGGGGGTTTAGTTGCTTGTGTCCTGCCCTGGTAGGCTATTGATGGCAATGGCATTACTTTGTTGTATATTTTTGTTCACTGCGTCTTGTTTTGTACTTATTGTAGGTTTTTTATCTTGCATTTATGTGAATAATCTCTGTAGCTGTGGCGTGCTTCCTGGTTTTTGTACTTATAGTGCCAGGAGTGTCCTTACATCCCCACCATTTTAAGGAGTCAAATTATATTTAAAAGGCTTAGATTCCTACCTGGGCTCTGTTCCCTGTCTCCACTACTAGTATCAGAGAGCCAGAAGTTCTTAATCGCTACTATGTCTTCTGTTGGCTAAGCATGACCTAGCTCATTAGCTGAGAGCATCAGATGATCACTCTAGATGACGCACCATCTAGGACTTGATGATGCTGGCATTGTCCTTTAAACATAATTCACCTATCAGTCACAGTAACAATTCTTTAGGCACTTGTAATTTTTGTAAATGTATTTCTTTTGTAAGTGCTTAGAATAACTACTGTCTGATATCTTGGGAAAACCATGTATAATGTCACGCTTATATGATCTTTACACCTAACGCAAATGTTTATCTTTTAATCTTTATGTATTTTCCCAGATGCCTTAAGAAGCAAGTTATTTAGAAATATTCCAAAGGATCTGTATGATAATCTTTCCAAATTACCCATAACATCAAACTTTCACTCCTGGAGCTTGTCTATGCAGGTACATTGCGTGTTAACATTAATTGGCTTTGAATGATGGGGAGGAGAGCACATTTCTAACTCATTACATTGTGAATCTGTGCCCAGAATCTGTGCCGAGACTAACACAGCCTCCCTACACACTTCCTGAAAAATGTTTGCCTCCCTCATGCTTAATGTACAAATTAAAATATTTTAGCATTAATTAAAGGTCAATGAATAGTGATGTCGCGAACGGTTCGCCACGGACTCATCATTGAGCAAACTTTGACCCTGTACCTCACAGTCAGCAGACACATTCCAGCCAATCAGCGGCAGACCCTCCCTCCCAGACCCTCCCACCTCCTGGACAGCATCCATTTTACATTCATTGTGAAGCTGCATTCTTAGTGAGCTGTCCAGGAGGTGGGAGGGTCTGGGAGGGAGGGTCTGCTGCTGATTGGCTGGAATGTGTCTGCTGACTGTGAGGTACAGGGTCAAAGTTTACTCAATGATGAGTCCGTGGCGAAACGTTCGGACATCACTATCCATGAACAAAGTAGGAAATATAGTTTAATGCAAACTCACTGTGCTGTAATTTCTGATTGAAACTTAAAGGGACCCTGCAGTGTAAGGAATATAAATCTGGCCTCCCTTTAGTCGCTTTCCCGATTTCAGCACCGATGTCCCTTGGTGCTGGCTTGGCGCTCCATCTCTTCCGTCATCCGATGGGGGAGCTAATGCGTATGTGCTACAAGCACAGTAAGCCCTCCCCATAGAAATGCATAGCTTCAATGCTTTCCTATGGGGATTTTACTGACACTGGATGTCCTCACGCAGAGCATGAGGACATCAGACAGCCTAAAGTCAGTTAGAAAGCAGGAAGTGCCTTTAGTGACTGTCTGATTTACAGTCACTAGAGGCAGTGTTAGCCCTGCAATGTAATTATTACAGTTTCTCAGATTGTCAAACTAGGAACCTTAACTTACTCTTTCTTTTGGAGAACATTTTCTCCCCATAGCACCCAAAGAAGCAGAGCAGTGAGTAACGTGTGAAACAGTACTTAAAGGGGCACTCCAGGCACCAATACAACTTTAAAGCATTTGATAGGTTTTGGGCTCATCATTATGCTGTATTTTTTCTGCACGCTTAAATGTTTATAGTTTTTGGATAAAATAAATCATTTGGATAAAATGTTTTGCAGAATGCTGTACCATAAGCCTAAAAGCGTAAAAAGCACAACCTAAAAAAATATATAAAGGGAGACCAATAGTGCAGACTAAAAAATAAAAACCAAATCTTAAAAATATATAAAAATGCACTCACAAACGTAGATGTTAATAGGCAGGATATAAAAAGTCTTCTTAAAGTGCTTCGTCTCTTCTTAGTTGTAGAAATAAATGCTTAAAACAAAGCATAAAGACAGACCATAGTGTATAACTGTATAATATTAAAAATTTTAATTTTATTGGATACACTTACAAAATAACAGTAGTTATCAGGCTCTTCAAATCAAATACCGATGTCTTCCATCAAAATAATAACCCTCAGGATACACAGAAGAATGTAGACAGGGGAGATGAAGAGATCCACAGTAAAATAATAACAAAAGCTTGCCACCCTACGCGTTTCGTCTAAATGACTTCATCAGGGGCTTGTAGCAATACATTTTTCTGTATTGCTACAAGCCCCTGATGAAGTCATTTAGACGAAACGCGTAGGGTGGCAAGCTTTTGTTATTATTTTACTGTGGATCTCTTCATCTCCCCTGTCTCCATTCTTCTGTGTATCCTGAGGGTTATTATTTTGATGGAAGACATCGGTATTTGATTTGAAGAGCCTGATAACTACTGTTATTTTGTAAGTGTATCCAATAAAATTACAATTTTTAATATTATACAGTTATACACTATGGTCTGTCTTTATGCTTTGTTTTAAGCATTTATTTCTACAACTAAGAAGAGACGAAGCACTTTAAGAAGACTTTTTATATCCTGCCTATTAACATCTACGTTTGTGAGTGCATTTTTATATATTTTTAAGATTTGGTTTTTATTTTTTAGTCTGCACTATTGGTCTCCCTTTATATTTTTTAAGGTTGTGCTTTTTACGCTTTTATATTTATATTGAAGACATTGAGGAGTCTTTGCACTTCCTATTTGGGGTATTTATATTTTATACATTTTCCCCGTTTGATAGCCACAAGGGTTGTTTTGTAGTGTTTGATATTCACTATAATTTGTCTGTATATTGTACCATAAGCCTGACTCCTAAGCCACACCCCCTCACTCCAGAAAAATACTTCCTAATCAAACAGGTATGCATACAGCTCAGCCACTGACAGTGCTTAATGAGCTGAACAACAAAACAGCTTGCATTAGAAGAGGACAGCCAGGGAGGCATATAGTAAGGATATCACTGGGCGTTTGCAGTTTCTCTGACTGTCTGCAGTCAGGTTGTGAATGAAAAACTAGGGATCGACCGATTATCGGCCGATATTTGGTATTTACGATAATCCTGGGGGGGCCCGCAGCAAGCTCTTACCTTCCCAGCAGCTCCCTTCAGCTCCACTGTGTAAATCTTGCGAGTCCCAATTTACACTGGGGAGCTGCTGGGAAGGTAAGTAAGCACTTGCTGGGCCCCCTCTGCACAGTCCATGTCAGGGCTTACCTGAGTTGGGAGTCCGGCAGGCAGAGATATATGCTCACCCTTGCAAGTAAACACAGGCCGAGGTGGTCAGGTAAGAATTCACCCGGCCTGTGAGCCGGTGCACGGGGGCTGTGCAGGATAATTCTCCAAGCCGCAGTACAGGAACGGATAAAGCAGGAGAATCGTCGCGGGTAAGCCAGAGGTCAGAGGGTGCCAGAAATCAGGATTAACAAGAAGAAAGCCAAGGTCAGAGGATGCCAGAAGTCAGTATATACGGAGTAACAAGCCAAGGTCTGGAATCAACAGGAGCACACTGGAACACAAACAGCAATACGGAACCAGAGTCAAGGAACTGACACTGCCTTCTGGGAGAGGCAGTGTTTTATACCTGGCTAATTAGACTATCATCTACAGGTGTACCAAGAGTGACAGGAGTAATTTCAATTCATGTCCAGCCCCAGTGCTGGATACTAGACAGGGCAGGAATAAACTTCCAGGCTGAAAGGCAGAGACACAGACCAGGAATGCACAAGACCTCAGGTTCAAGTCCCCTGTTGGGCTCTTCAAGGGCGACCGTGTCTCCCTGTCTGTATGCTGCGTTGATAACTGTGACAATGCCACTGGACCACCAGGGAATGCCATATACCCACTCCCTGGCCAAGTAAGATGCAGGGGAAAAAAAATGTATATAAAAAAAAGAAAAATTGTATTTAAAATACCTCCCCTTCCCCCCACCCCCCATTTTACACAAATTACATACCTACAAAAAAAACATACACACACACTGCATTATATACACACACTACACAAATAAACTGCATTCACTATGCACACACTACACAAACACACACATACTCTGCATTCATTATATACACACTACAAAAACACACATACTGCATTCATTATATATATATATATATATATATATATATATATATATACACACACTACACACTGCATTCACTATACACACACTGCATTCACTTTACGCACACTACACACACTGCATTTACTTTACGCACACTACGCACACACTACAATCACTATATATACACACTACACAAACACTCACTGCATTCACTATACACACTACACAAATACACACTGCATTTAATTTATACACACTGCATCCACTACACACACACTATACAAATACACACAGCTCCCCTGTCTAAACACACTGCATCCACTATATGTGGCATACATATTTTGTGCATTTACCTTTAGAAATAGTTTTTTTTTTTTCAAAATGGTAAATGTACAGAATATCGGTAAGTTATCGGCTATCTGCCTGAAAGTCCACAGATTATCGGTATCGGATCTAAAAAATCAATATCGGTCGACCCCTTAAAAACAGCTCACTCCGTGCTGTTGGGTTGAGAATGTGAGCATACCTCTGACAATAAATCTTTGTGGCTTGAGGGTGTGTAGCTAAGAAGGCAGGTGTATGGTGCATCATTCTGCAAAACATTTACTTTATTTTATTTTTTGCAAAAATTATAAAGATTTGAGAATGCAAAAAAATACAGCATATTAACAAGTCCAAAATCTATCAAATGCATTAAAGTTGTATTGGTACTCAGAGTGTTCCTTTAAACTCAAAATTGTGAAACAAATTATTATTTGCGTCACTGATCTTAGGAAAACAATTATGATAATCTTACAGCCCTTGTAAAGTATATAACACACTACATGTATGAAATGCTTCCATGAAGATAGAATGTTATCTTTTAAAATAGTTGATGTAGATTTTTTTTTTTCTTATCAAAACCTTTTGTTTGATAGAAAAAATTAAATATTGTGTGCCACAAACTGTTGGTTGTTGTTATATTCTTATATTTATGAAAACTGGAATTTGCTGTAATCTGACAAATGGAAACTACCTAATTTTACAAGCTCGATAAATTCTAATATTAAAGTTCCATTGTCTATACAGAAGCAAAAAGGGATTAAAACAAATGATTATGTAATAATACTCGCTGTACGAGAAGACTTTGTAAGTATTTAATTATCCCATTTCTGTACAGCTTACCATTTTTTTTTTTTTTTTAGTCCTTGTGTATTCTGTTGCTTGAAGTACTGCTAGTTAAGCTTGACTTGCGTTAAGGTGGCATACTCCCATCGATTTACCATTTGTGGTTATGTCTCTTTTGTTTTCTCTGCAGAATTTTACAGCTAATGAGAAATTGAAAAAGTTCTACAATGTTTTGTCAACAAATTCTGATGGCACAGTGGAATTTATTTCTACATTTGAAGGTACTTTTTGACCTCTCAGCCCACCTGGCTTGTACTTATTTAATAATGCAGATTCTATATTTCTTTATACCATGTTGCTAAAAAGTAAAAGGTAAACATCTGGAAATCCAAAATTACAAAACAACAAACCCACTTTGAATGCAATTCCAGTGCGTTTGTAAAAAGGATAACCAACATCAACCCATCTGTGTGTCAACCCATCAACCCAATGTGTGTCCAACTCGTCTTGTTACAAATAAATCTCTGTTAGTCCAGTTAGTTAGTTGGCGCTTTATAAATAATAATATCCTTAAAAGTAGAAATGTTGTCCTGTATATTAGGCTGTGCTTGCTTGTATATTGGTATTGGAACTATGCAGATGGAACCCTCTGTGCAATCTATCTGCATGGGCGTCCAGATTTTTCCAGGGGGTGGGGGGGGGGCATAATTGTAATGACATCCATGATGCCTGGTCCCTTTTTGACAGTGTCATGAAAGGGAAGGGGCATAGTCATTATCACATAAAGCCAGGGTGAATAGCGTTTTCACAACTATAGTGTCAGGAATACATGTTTGTATTCCTGACACTATATTGTTCATTTAAGCAAATTCAAGGAACATTCTGGTAACCATAACAACTTCATCTAAATGAAAATGCTATGATGCCAGGAAGTCCCTGGGTGCTCTCTTTCCTTTAAGGGGTTAAACTGCTCTCAAATGGTTGAACCCCAAAGGCTTCCTCCAGCTCCAGGTCACTCAGTGGTATTCGGCTTCTGAAACGGAGTGTCAGGCAGTGCAGATTGATGTCAGGCATGGGTGCTGCAGATTGGCTAGAGTGGTCAGTTGACTCTCTAAGCCAATCGCTAGTTCCCAGTTCATAAAAATGTTTTACTTTTTTATCAATGGGGAGCTACTGATTGGCTTAGAGTGCCAGCTGACCGCTCTAGCCAATCAGCGACACCCCTACCCAGCGGCACTCTGTGCTTCGTGACACTCAGTAAATAAAAACGAACACATTAACACTGATATTTTTTTTTACCTGTGGAGATGAGAAGGTCCAATGTTTCCCTGCTAGACCAGGTACCAAAGCCTTACGATGTGGTGTCACTTCAATTGTCCTTCCTGCTCCAATCTCCTTTTCTTCTCCTTCATTTGACACAGCCTTCTTTTTCTTCTGATACAGTCTTCTCTCCTCCGTGGTTCCTTCTGCTCCTTTCTGCTTATTTTCCACTCTTCTGATCCTTTCTCTTTCTGATCCCTTTCTGCTCCTTTCCCTACTTTACCTTTGTGCTTCTTCTGATTCTTTCTGCTCATTTACCTTTGTGCTCTTTCTGTCCCTTTCTGCTCTTTGTAGACCTTTCCTTCTCCTTGCAGACACTTCCTTTTCCTTGCAGACACTTCCTGCTCCTTGCTGCCCCTTCCTGCTAATTTCTGCTCCTTCTCCTACTTTACATTTGTGCTCCTTCTGCCCCTTCCAGTTAATTGCTGACCCTTTCTGCTCCTTGATGTCCCTTCCTGCTCATTTCTGTTCCTTCTCCTACTTTACCTTTGTGCTCCTTGCTGCCCTTTCCAGCTCCTTGCTGACCCTTTCTTTTGCTACTTCTACTTCTACCTTTGTGCTGCTTTACCTTCCAGCTCCTTGCAGACCATTCCTGCTCATTGCTGCCCATTCCTGCTCATTTCTCTTCCTTTGTGCTCCTTCTCCTACTTTACCTTTTGTGCTCCTTGCTGTCCCTTCCAGCTCCTTACTGCCCCTTTCTGCTCCTTGATGTCCCTTCCTGCTCATTTCTGTTCCTTCTCCTTTCTGATCCTTCTCTTACTTTGCCTTCCTGCTCCTTGCTGACCCTTCCTGTAGGCTGTCTCCCCCATACCTCAATTACCTGATCTATAGGCTGCCTCCACCATCAATCACTTACCTAATTTGTAGGTGGATCCCCCCACCTGATCTGTATGCTGCACCCCCTCCCTCACTTCCCTGATCTGTAGGCTGCTCCCCCTCCCTCACTTACCTGATCTGTAGGCTGCCCCCATTTCTCACTTACCCGATCTGTAGGCTGCCCCCCATCCCTCACTTACCTGATCTGTAGGCTGCTCCCCTCCCCCCACCATGTCTCACCTACCTAATCTCAGGGCTGGCGCCCCCACCGCATACCTGATCTGTAGGCTGCCCCACCCCCATACCTGATCTTTAGGCTGTCTCTGCAATCTGGGAGTTGATGTGCTGCTCCCCTGTGGATTCAATCAGGAGAGAGAAACAGGGATAAGATGTAGCTTCCTATCCCTGTTTCTCTCCATACACAGCGCCACCTACTGGCCGGCACCGCTATTGCATTGTATTTTCAATCTCACCTGAAAAATAGCAGAACAAGCTGAAAAATCCCCTCCTGCGGACGCCCATGTCTATCTGTCTTAATCTTTCTCATATATACTTTCTCTTGGATTACACATTTTCCTTCTAAATATGCTTGTTTGGCTATTTGATCTTGTTTTCGTTTATACATAAAGACATAAATATGGAATATGATCCATAAAAGATTCTGGGTTTGTCTGGTAATTGGAAATGCAAATTGTAGGTAGATTAAAGGGACATTCTAAGGATGATTATTATTAGTGCACAATGTTTTGTAGTGGTTAAGGAATTTTAGGGTTCGGCACCTCTGTTTTTTGTCAAACTATTTGAGCGGTGTGACAAAACGTGAGGATCCACAGAACCCAAAGATCATTCCCGCTCCTGAGACTGTAGAAAAATTTCACTTCTTCAATAGCCATACATAATAATAAGATTGCAAGGAAAGGTTGCAGAGGCTGGGGGTTTCATGTACTTGTCTTCAACTATGTTGAATGTTTTAATCAAATTATATGATATGACAATCCATTAAAAATGTTTATTCCGACTGTGACCGTTTACTTACCTGTAATCCAAAGCACATCAAAATCTCAACTTTAGCAACTGGTGTACATTTTCCACATCATTTTGCTAAATGCTGATGAAATTGTAAGTTTTACTCACTGGGAGTAAGTGTTTGCATATTCAACGTTCAGAAAGCTAAAGTGGTTATGGTGCTTAGTGTGCCAATTTGTAATGGGTCACTCTAAACACAGTAACAAAGTTGCAGCATTGCAAAATATATGATGCAGGTCGTATCCCCCTCTCATTCTTAGCTCTAAAAGTGGTTTCGATCTGCAGCGATCTGTAAAAATTTGCGGCAGCTATTAGACAACTCTTCTCTGATAAAAGGAGTATTTATGGGCTTCCAATGCAAATTGTGTCCATGTTTCACATGCAATGTGCCGAGTGCATATTGTCCACATTTTATCTATCTATTTTTTTTATTCCTGATTTTTGTTTTGATAAAAAAAATTTGTATTTCTCATTTCTTTATTAAACCAATCCTCTTTAGCATATGATTATCCAATCTATGGAGTTCAATGGCATCCTGAAAAAACTGCATTTGAGTGGAAGAAAACATCTGAAATATCACACACAGCAGAGGCGGTGTATGTAGCATTTTATATGGCCGAGTTCTTTGTTAATGAAGGTAAGGCATGTAATAGACTTATATACAATGCACTTTTTTAAAAATGTTTACGTTTTTTCTTTCTAAATATGTATAAACTTGTTTTAAAAGCAGATCCGTCATATAGCTTTCTATATGTTAGTTGTGCTTTTTTTCTAATTGCCAATAATTTTAATTTTATAATGTTTTTGTACAAAAATCTAACTTTCTATATATTGTTTTAAACTGATTTTTAGAATTTAAATTGCTTGCCTAGTTGTCCTCTAAATGCTTGCCTAGTTGTCATCTAAATCAACGTAACGCAATCCATTCCATGCATGCAGGCACATGTATCTTTATAGAGGAATTGCCCAGGCATGATTGACATTTCTCTGCTGATGCCGGAGTGCATACACTCAGAGCATTATGAGGTGGTTGTATCTCCTGCCTCTTGTAGTACAGAAATGCTATGGAATCAGTGCAGTGTTGTACTAGTGCAGGGGTGCCCAAAACATCCCCAGATGTTTTAAAACTACAGCTTCCATGATGCTTTGTCATTCTAAAGGTATTCTGAAGGCATGCAAAGCATCATGGAACTCGTAGTTCTACAACATCTGGGGATCTACCTTTTGGGCACCCCTGTACTAGTGGGTGCTCAAAGTGAAAAGTATACCTTTTTATCTGTATATTAATTTTAATGTGTAGTCACAGAACCATATACAGTCAAGAAAATATTGTATTGAAATGTAAACTGCACATTTTGTATAAAGCAATAACGGACGGTTAATACCATATTTAATTAGTCAGCAAATTGTAATAAAGCTGAAGGAATTCATCTAGCAGTGTCTCATTCTTTGTTCGCCAGAATAATACTCACAGCAACAAGGGGTGTGGGGATACCTAGGAAGAGGGTGTGGGTGGTCACAAAGCAGAGGGCAAGAAAGAAGCTGCCTCTCCCCACAGGCCCTGTCCAGCTAGGCCAGTCAACTCTGCCGTCCCTAGATCAGCAAAAACCACTCAATAGCCAGAGCTTGAGCTGGATTATTGTCGATTTGATCTTGAGTATTATTTAGAAGTGTAGCAATGACTCAATAGTTTGGGGAAATATTAGAAGTTTGAATATATTAATAATTTAGGATGTAATTATTGTTTGATCTTATCTGTACACTTGTTACCATTTGAATATAAATAGGAATAGCTCTGCAAAATGCAAAGCTGTTGCCATGACAAAGTCACATTAAGCCACCAACAAGTTTGAGTAACTTTTTGTCTTGATAATTAAGCCATCGCCTAGGCATTCTAATTATATATTTCAGCTCTTTTTTTTTTTATAAGAGCCAAGTTCAGAAAACGAAAGTGAATGATTTCTATTGTTTTGTTATTTTTCTTTAAACAATCTAAACAAAATTTAAAGTCTGCACTTTATGTACTATAACAACCTATACTCCTTCAATTAAATGTGAAATGAAGTCCATTATGTCTTTCTCCAATTAACAAAGATTGAGGTTCTTCAAGCCCTATTCATTCCAGAATTCCAATGCCAGTAAGGTCTGACCTCAGTTATGTTCACGAGAGCGGTAAAGACGTGTTATTTAGACTACCTTGATATCATTATTTTAAAACACTTTGTTTTGACATATATGAGATTCATTCTTTTTAGTACCTTTGCTTCCATCTTTACATCATTCAGCTATCAAAATTTTGCTGAAATACCAAAAATCAAACAATAGAAAAAAAACCCTGTATAAATGTTATTTTTTTTTTTAACGATCAGCTGCTCTCACTCATAGTCATTTAAAGTTTCCATCTTGGACAAGACTGACGTAACAGGGCTCTCAACTATCCCCCTCTTTCCCCCCAAATAAAATCACTATTTAGTAGAGATACCCACAGTGAAAACATGCATGCTTTTAATCATGCATTTTTAATTGAGATTATATCTAGAACAGCTTGCAAAACCTGCAGATCTCTTGTCTGCAGCCTTACTTCCCAGTGCAGACTTTCTGTGGGTGACCAATCACAGACTTCCCAATGCAGCTCAATGAGGAGTCTTTGCAAAACAGGTGCTCTGGGCAATTGCTGCTTCTTGAGTTTAGCTCCACTGAGCTAAACAACCAGAATGTAACAGAAACAAGTAACAGTTGTCTGACAGCCAGGTGGGTGTAAAAGGGTTAATTTCTATTGAAGTCTGCACTTTTTGTTAAATGAAATAAAGAGGACACACTCTTCGTATATTAATCACTTCTGTATGTGGAGTGATCCTTTAGCTTTCAGATACTTATATCTTATAACATTTGTTAGGAAATGAAGTTATTTGAAATATTTTTATAAAATATAGGTGTTTCTTAAAGGAACACTAGAGGATCAGGAACACACACATGTATTCCTGACTCTAGAAACACTATCAAGCCCCGCCTGCCTCCCCCACTTTTCCCCTAAATATTGTAAAATCTTACCTTAATTCCAGTCTGCTGGTGCTGGCTCTGCCCCTGATCTACCTCCTTGCATGAGATGATATCAGCCAATCATAATGCTTTCCCATAGGAAATCATCAAATTGGCTGAGATTGGTAGTTCTGATGATATGAAGCCAATGAGGCATGCCCAGAGAGTAGCCAAACATCACCCTTGCAAATCAGCATCTCATCATAGACATGTATTTAATTAATGCATCTCAATGAGGAAAGTTCAGTGTCACCATGCAGAGGGTGGAGACACTGAGTGGCAGTGCTGCTCACTGTGCAGCACTGCCCCAGGGTGCACCTCTAGTAACCATCTGAGGAGTGACCAGTGGAGGTATTCCTAGGCTGTAATGTAAACTGTCAGTATATTTTCACTGGCAGACATTTTGTTTTAAGAAAGAAATTAAAAATGTATACTGTAAGTCACCAGTTAGTAGACGTGACCATCCATTTTGTATCACAATGCAAAGACACACATTTTTACTTCTCTGTACTCTATTAATTCAAGCCTGTGCAAGGGAATACGCTAATGTAAACACTGAGCAGACATAAGACCTTAGGTCTGCAGCAAAGAGGGTTTGATAAAAGCAACAGCCCAGAAATAAATATTCTATCCATGAATATTCCATAATATTAACTTAGGTACTATTTATATATGACTAAACATAATTATAGTTAGTTTATATGTGGATATATATATATATATATATATATATATATATATATATATATATATATATATATATATATATATATATATATATATATATATATATATATATCCACATATAAACTGTCTCTAGCTATCTATCTATTTATCTATCTCCACATATAAACTAACTATATTATGTTTAATCATATATAAATAGTACCAAAGTTAATACTATGGAATATTCATGGATAGAATATCAATGAAGAAATGTCATATTATTAAACTAATATAGCTGAATGTGTAAGAGACATGTATATATCACATGCTGTCACATTACTAACTATGTAGCTTCACACAAGAAAACCAGACACAGGATTACAGATAACACTAAAGTAATTAATTTTACTTTGTAAATATTATGGATTGATACAAAGTTCCATTGTAAGGAAAGGTGAACAAGGGTTCAGTGATGTCAAACTTTTAATTTTATGGACAAAAATGAGACAGTCAGTCTAAAGAAATTATCTGAAGTCTGATAGGTCTTTGACAAAAATTATGTCAAATGCATCACAAAATTCAGTTAACCCCTTACACAATGGATAATTGAAACTCCTGAAAAGAATTTCTGGTGGTGTTGTTATGCCATCTACTGACCAAAATCTAGATGATAGCCTGTAGGGAAGACACACCCACCTTACTTGATTGGTCCTTGAGCCAATTGACCTAAATGAAGGTTCCCCTTTAAAAATTAAGGGCAGAGGAGAAAGAGGGAGATCTAACATCTGGAGCCAAAGCTGGACACATCTAACTCTCTTTATCTTTTCCAACTAACACCTAACTTTAAAATTCTTTAAAATTCAGAACTCTGAAAACTTTTCAATTTCCCACAATACTCATTCATACTTGCATTCACGATTTTATGGAATACATCTCCAAGCCTAAAAAAGAAATTCTACCAAGAGCTGGTAATTATGCTTGTTTTATTTAATTAAATTTAATTTTTACAAAAAGCCAAATGTACCAGGATGAAGGTTGGTCAGGTTTCTAACTTAGAAATCCTAATTAGCTAAGAAATATATATATATATATATATATATATATATATATATATATATATATATATATATATATATATATTCCTGTTGGTGGAATAATTAAACAATATATTCACTGGTAATTTGCCAAATTTAGAATACTAAACTTTTATGCAGAGATATTGACTTATTCTAAATTAAGGATAGTAATCTTTAATTAGGAAAGTTAAAATTCGGCTGAGATGGGAAGGAATGGTTAACTGATCTGGTATGAGAAATATTGTGTTTATCAAATTGCAATATAAAAGGGTATTTTGCCTGTGAGGATTGTAGTCGGTAGTGATTGAATTAACTCAGTGTATTAAGACTGTCAGCCAAGGTTTTAATTGCTTTAAGCTGTGCTGTGAAAAGTTCTCTTTGCTGTTTTAAGCTGTTTTAAGCTGTGCTGTGAAAAGAATTGCCTTGCTGATTTCAAAGTTAAGTGTCCTGTCATAAATCTTGTTGAAATTTGCATCTATGTGGATATGTTGCTATTTAGCCATCTGTAATTGTGCTAAATCCTTTCCATATTGTATACATGTTGTACCTAAATATTCACTGATTACTGTCATGCATGTAACATACATATTATTATTAATTATTGTCACAATCAGGCCCGGACTGGCCATCGGGCACAACGGGCAAATGCCCAGTGGGCCGTGATGGCCGTGGGGCCGAGGCCGGCAGGGAGAACACAGGATCTCACCGGCAGGCCCCTGCAGGGCCAGCACTATGCGAGCGCCGGCCTTGCTGTGTGCTTCCATGGGCCGGTGGGGAGATCAAAGATCTCCCTCACCGGCCCCGAGGCAGTTACAAGCGGCCGCCAGCTGGGGAGGGAGGGAGGCAGGAGGAGAGGACCGGCGGAGTTCTATCCAGCAGCTCCGCTGGGTCACTCAGATCTCATGAGAGTGAACTCTAGCCTGCAGGCTAGAGTTCACTCTCACCACTAGCACCACCAGGGAAGGCAGCATGGACCCCCTCATGGCAGAACGCCCCCCTCACCCTCAATAAAGGTAAGAAGGGAGGATGACAAAACACACCCTCTCTTGCCCCGCCCCCTTCTTAGGGGGCCGCTCTGATTGAAAAATGCCCGGGCCTAATATTTTTCCCAGTCCGGCCCTGGTCACAATAAATAATTTTTTTGCTCCAGGGTCTATAAGAGTTGAAAATAGTGGTTAGCTATTAGCTTTAAATTAATTAAGGGGAACAGTGCCAATATACACATTTTATATTTAATTAAAGTTATTACATTAAATTGATAATTTTTATGAAATATTATTTTTAATATTTATCACCTCATAAATATCCTCACAAAACACTGCATTTTCTCTGAAAAGAGAGTGTTTATTGAAAAAAGCCTGAAGTGAATGATTATACTCCCCAGAACAAATACATTAAGCTGTAGTTGTTCTGATGACTATAGTGTCCCTTTAATAAATGCAGTTGCTCTAGGAAAAACAAATGTTCTGCTACTCAAGCAAGCTCGATCTGTTCTTTGCATCAGGTAGCTATAGGATGACATATATCTTTATGTCACTGACCTGCATTTTAGCTGATTGTTAAAACATATTAAAACATATTTGCACAATACTAATTGGAATTTTCTACTCTTTTACAGCAAGAAAAAGTCTACATAAATTTCCAGACACCACGCAAGAACATGAATCTCTAATCTACAATTACTGCCCAAAGTACACTGGAAATACTTCAGTCTTTGAGCAAATGTATTTTTTCTGAACTTACATTGTTGTTGTTTTTTTTAATGTGGTTTTGCTATATCGTTTTTTTTTTTTTTTTCCTTCTGCAACTATTGCAACTCTGCGAGTTACAATAAATTTAAACTGCTCTGTTTGATTGTAAATCTGAAGAAGAACAACTCCAGTAACTTTTTGTTTTGTTTTCCAAGAAAATGATCTTTCACTATATGGAGCACATACTGTTACATTAAACAAAACAAGTCAAATGCATTTAGGATGCACAGTACAGAATGCCATGTATTCCTCATTCATACTATCTACTAAATGTTGCATTGTCCTCGATAATATTTAAGAACATTGCTACCTATAAATAAATGCTCTGGTTTACTGGATTTCTTTACTTGTAAACTTTCCAGATTTTTATGGCATGGAAAAGTGAGTCCTTCTGAACAAAGTTGCTTGTCTGTTTCTATAAGTACATTGCAATATCTGTCCTGGCTTGGACTCAGCTAGGCTGTGATTTCATTTGCTAAATCTTTTTAATGTAGTGGTTCTGGTGTCTACAGTGAGTCCCTGCAGGCTTTTCAATGTAGACACTGTCTAATCTGAGAAAAGGCAGTGTTTATGTTGCTGACTAGTAACACCTCTCATTGCAGTCGCCTTTTGCCTCCTGTGTCAGTGCAGCACTGGCATTCGCAGGGGCGTATTAGCCGCGAGGCAAACAAGGCATTTGCCTTGGGCGGCATTTTTTAGGGGGCGGCAAAAAACGCCGCCTCCCAAATGCCCAGGGCAAATGCCTAGTTAGCCTCGCGGCTAACTGACATCCCGAGTGGGCGGCGCTGGCAGGCGGGCGGCTGGCGAGGGAGCACTTCCTATGAGCTGTCTGCTCAGCTCCCTCGCGCGCCGCAGAGTGAGGCTGGGAGCCGGAAGATGACGTCATATCCCGGCTCCCAGTCTCACTCTGCAGCCGGCGCGCGAGGGAGCTGAGCAGTCAGCTCATAGGAAGAGCTCCCTCGCCGGCCGCCCGCTTGACCTGCAGCCACCGGACCACCAGGGATAGAGACCCCCCCCCCCCAGCACCCTGCTGCAAGGAGGTTGGGGGGATGAAATTCTAAAAAAAAAAAGCAATGTGTGTGTGTTTGTGTCTGACTGTGTTTTGTGAGTGTGCGTGTGTGTGCCGTGTCTGACTGTGTGACTGTGTGTGTGTGACTGTGTGTGTGTTTGTGTCTGACTGTTTGTGTCTGTATGTTCTCGACTGTGTTTGCAGTGTGTGTGTGTTTTAGTCTGTGTGTGTGTGTGTATGTGTTCGACTGTGTTTGTGGAGTGTGTGTGTTTTGTGTCTGTGTGTGTGTGTGACTGTGTGTGTCTGACTGGTGTGTGTGTGGATCGTGTGTGTGTTTGTGTCTGACTGTGTGTGTGTGACTGTGTGTGTGTTTCGTGTCTGACTGTGTGTGTGTGTGTGTGTGTGTCTGACTGTGTGTGTCTGTGTTTTGTGAGTGTGTATGCAGTGTCTGACTGTGTGTGTGTGTGCGTGTGTCTGACTGTGTATGTGTGTGTGTGTTTGTGTCTGACTGTGTGTTTGTGTCTGACTGTGTGTGTGTATTTAGAAGGTGGGGCGGGGGGGAGGGTTGGATGGGGGTGGCGCGGGGGGAGGGGGGCGCCTGAGTTTTGTCCTGCCTAGGGCAGCACAAAACCAGGATACACCACTGGGCATTCGGCATCTCCACGCTCTGCATGGAGGCAATGAATGTTCTCCGTAGAGGTGCATTGACTCAGTGCATCGCTATCAGAAGATGCTAATTGGCGCAGCACAGAGTTTTGCCACGAATGTTCAATCATCTCTCCATGCTCTCCTATGGGAAAGCATTAGATTGACTGAGTAAATAAAGATTGATGATCTCAGCCATGGAGGCAGGGCCAGCCACGGCGAGACTGACTTGGCGTGGGGAAAAAAGTGGGTTATATCACCTTTTCACTGTACAGACAGGGTGGCTAGGGTTCCTAAATAGACACACCAACCTTCTAGTACCACAAATACAGGTTTGTATTCCTCACGCTATAGTGTTCCTTTAATATTTAAATATTAAAATATTTAACATGCAATAGGGTGAATTTCAGGTATTCAATGGTATCATTTTTAGAGAAGTAGCTATTCCCCTTCAAGCAAAAATATGTGTTGTTATGATAATGCTGACATATGTGAACACATGGATCTGCTTGTAATGCTTAACTCTAGGAGCAGTCCTTAAACTCATTAAACTCATTAAAATGTCAGACCAGTAAATTAAACTTCAGGATGTGACACATAAACTGAAAAGCAGGAAATGAATGTATCCTAAGCTTTCCAGATAGACCTAAAAGTACTCAGTCAGCATTTCAATTGCAAATTTGTTGTGACCATTCTGTCTCATTGGGAAACATTAATCACAGGAGAATTTGCTTATAGGTACTAGAATAGTAAAAATAGACCAAACTAAATTAGGGCAAAATGTGTGTTATGGAGAAAATAATTAACAAGAAAAATGCAGACATTCACACTCCATTAAAATACAATATACACCAAAAACTACTATACAGTAACTAGGTTTTAAATCTTTGTTTTATGCGTCCAAATAGGACAATAACCACCCCATGCAGGGGAGGATCATTTCTGATACAAAACATCCAAAAGAAGTTCAAGTGAACAAGAAAACAAGTTGGTAGCAATGCATACATTAAAGAAATAAGTAAGCAACAAAATCTGTGATCAACAGAGCTGAATCGATCCATTTGCATTTTTGCTATTCTTCAGCTTCAATGTTGAGTAGGTAGATTTTCTACCTTTTACATCCTCTTGGTATCCACAGGTTTTAACAGGTTGTACATCTCATCCTGCATCATTTGACTCCCCCCACCCCCTGTCATTGACACCATCTCTGGACTGCGCACTTGAAGCCTCTCTTAATATTTGCCCTACAAATTGGGGGCAATGCCTGTCTAGAGGCTTCGATATCATTTCCCATAGTTGATCCTTATTTTAGTGCCATGTTATGTTTGGAAATGCCACCCTGGGATCACCCCCATGGGGAGCATAGTCAAAACTGTGCAAGCTGATGCTGATCCTCTTAAACTGATGGCCTTCACAAGCTGAAAAAAGGGGGGTGCAGAAAAAAAAAGAGGTAAGGAGAAGTGTGAAGGAGGGGTAAAGGCAAAGTGAGGAGAGAAGAAAGATGAGAAGTAAATGAGAACTGAGAGGAGGAGAAGAAGACAAAGGGGGGGAAAAATGCTGTATGTTATGCCTGAAACCGGTGGCACATGTGCCCCCAGTCCGCCACGCTCCGAGGGCTGCTCCTCTTCCACAGTTACAAGCCTCTCCACTTCATGCCATCTTTCCATATATATTTCTCTCTGTCTCTTGCTTTGAGTAGGGATGTACATGCCTGCCACCAGAAAATACGAACCACAATTTGCTGCTTTGTGGAGTCTTGGTATTACAGATGGTTTATAAATTGGTGTCGGCTATACCTTCCTTCAGTTTGTATAACCTCAAATGAAAGATTGTTTGATTATTGTTTTTACTGTGCTAATAAAACACAGGCTTGACAGATCATTAGAGTGTGCACAGATTTCTGTTGACTGGTGATAACTGTGAGGAGAAAGGATAGGTTAATCACCGTCTGGGTCGCACTCTGTTTGTAGGTAGACTAACGTACCTACAATAGTGAGCCTTGTGGGTGGCTTTCTCAGAATATGAGAGTAGGTAGTACTGTTGTGATGGTAGATGATCATGCATATTATATCGAGCACAGAAAGGGTGTAAAGGGCGACAAGGCTTAGGAAAATATAATGTCCACATCTCCTGCAGGTTTCTGACTTGGGAAATTGCAGTTCATTCTAATGGTTTGGCTTATTTTTTTTCCAACCATATAGAGTTAAATCTTCCAAATATTCCCCATCTTCCGAGTATTCGTATTTTGTGTCCCATATATATTTGAAATGGAATTAGCTGCTGCAACTATTCTGCAGTGGTTTTCAGCTGGTTACGGAATTGGTGCAACAAGAAGCAAACATACAAACGAGAGAACTTTATTTCATTATTATTTTTAAAATGTTTAATGAGACACAGATCCGCTTACTAAGATCAAGCAAACCTAAACAATAAAAAAACTATTGGACCACTTTAAGTAGTCCTAGACCTGTCTCAACTCATATATTTCAATAATACACATTCAAACTTGTTTCATAAATTTTGTTAAACAATTTTGATAGGTTCTTTTTATAGTGTTGGGGCTTGTTATGGTATTATGATTTATGATATTATTCTGCAGTCAATGACGCTTCAACTTCAATCTTGATTGAGAAAATTCCATTATCTATTAAGGATTTTATCTAATCTTTGGTGTTTGGTTATTTTTTTTAAATATATAAAATTCTGACTGTACCCTGGTCTCAATGGGTTGAGATAGAGTAGTGCTGACACAGGCCAATATGAAAAAAAATGAAATTAGGAAATATATTATTTTAAAACGTGAAACACAAACTCGTAGATTCATTGGCTATTGTTGTTTTTAGTATTTTAAAAACACTTTTCAAAAGATATTAAACTTTAATATGTTGTCTCCCTTTTATGGAGAGAAAGAGTTAAAATTCTCTATGGTACAATATGTGCCCACCAAACATTCTTTAATGCATCTGTTACAACTGATCTCAACTGTTTTTAGGAGAAAACAAAATGGAAAATAGTAGAGACAAACTATTAAAATAATGTTAGAAGATTAGTATTAAAGATTAGATCACCATGTACATTTTTAAAATATACATGAAGCTGCAAATCTGTTTTGATGGGTACCAGTTGGCTGAAGAATATCAGATAAAACTAGGCTGACATCCATGAAATAAAGTGACTTGTTCAATCGCTAAAAGATACATTGTGGCTGTGTGCTCGATCTTTGAATTTATTCCATGAGAATTCTTCCAGAGGAAATTCTTTAGAGGCTTGTTTTAAAATGATGTTAAAATACAGAAAAATATTGGTAGTAAATATCTAGTACTTTAATCCCATTTCACAAATTTGTATCATCTGTACTTATTTTAGCCGTTTTTCTTTTCTTTTTACCCCAATATTAAAAGATAATCCAAGCACTGAAGTGCAGCATTCCATCTGATTTTCATAGGAAGTCCTGATGTGGATATCAAACAAAAAGCATAAAAATCCTGGACTCCAAGTCTAACAGGCTGAGAAATGACTGGAAAGGGTAGAGGATATGTGAGAAAATATATATTCTGTATTCTTCTAATATGTCTTACATGAGAGATATTCTTTTTTAAGTATTGACATAAAGAATGTTAACCCATGCTGCCTCTCCTTTCTGTTTGCTTTTTATTTGCACTGCTTTCTGTTGTGAATATAGGAGCTAGGCCACTCCACCATTACGATTCTCCACTACGATCTAGATCTTAGTTCCTCACTGTGTGTCTAGTGAAGTCCTCGCTGGCATCTCACAATACACCACATTAAGCACATGATACGGGACAGTAGTGCACTAATAGATAAGCACTGGCATATTGGCGACGCTGGAGATGCCATTCACGGAGCATAGGACAATAGGCATAGGGTCAGCGTAAGTACAAGGGTTAGTTTTAGTTTTGGTTTAGCTGGCTGAATCCACTTTTTAAT